AGAACCAAAAAGGAAACATTTGTCTGACTAAGAAATGATCCCGAGTTTACAGAGAACATTTTGTATGTGGAGCGACGTTTTCTGCTGTTTGGATCCAACAACCACACAATTACGATGTCCAAATCCCAAAACTAAAATATGACAATATCAGAACCAGAAACAAAAGTGAAATGGTTCAAAAGACTTGAAAAGATCGACTTTGTCAATAAACACATCCCACTGGGAAAACAAACATGGAGGTTTGATGATCAGTTTTTTGGAAAATCCTTCCCAGTGTGAATTGTGCGATGACCAGAAGTCCGAGATTCTTGATGCGTCTATTTTAATAGAAATGTAGATTTTTCATGAGAATCACTATTAAAAATGCTGTCAGATAGAGGTGTGCAAAATATTGAAATATCGATATATCGTATTGTTTAATGTGATGATACAGTATTGATATCATGGGCTGCTGTATTGATTTCTCATCAAGAGTATTTTTTGGTATATTTTAGGGCCCGTCCGATATATCGGTTGGCCGATGTTATCAGCTGATATTGGCATTTGGAAACATATCGGCGATAGGCCTAAATCTTGCCGATATGAGCCGATATTTCACGTGGACATGTTATATGTCGTTATAAATCTTAGACTCTCTACATTCTGTTCATTTAATCCAATTTACAGACAGATAAATGTTCTGTTATGTGGCTCCACATCAGTGTTTATCTGTGGAGTCATTTGTCTGTGTGTGTGTCCGTACTGTCCCTGAACACACCGCAGAGTCAAGTCACTCACGTGTGTTTGTTTACACTCGCAGACACAGACAAACACTGAGATTATTTTCTTTTTACGGACAATCGGTTTGAGTCGGGATTAAAAGGACATTTGTGAGTTGAGACTTGTGATCTGGGAGGAGCCTGTGTTCAGCAGCTGTAGTTCCCGCACATAAACAGGCTGTTTTCTCTGACATTGGCCGACTGTAAAGTGATTATATTGGTCGTATATTTGTTACTGGACCAGCATTGATATGTAAATGAGCTGTGAATAGAGGTGTGAATGATCCACATTTACGCATAATGAAATACCGCGGCATATATACATATATGCATGCAAATAGTTTTTTTGTTTGTTTGTTTGTTTTCTCATTTTTGGTTTAATTTTGAAAAACTAATGAATGAATGATACACAGATTTTACTCAATCTAAACAGTGAAAATGTCAAATGTGTCGCATAAACGAGTTTCCTTCCTCTGAACAAACAACAAAACTGTAGCTGTAACAAAATAATTCAGTGAAATAAACCAAAAATTACTCTTGGCGATATATCGATACAGCAGCCCACGATATCGATACTGTATCATCACATTAATGATGTGATATATTGATATTTCAATATTTTTGCACAGCCCTATTCCTGAATACTGGTCTTACAAAGCTGATTTTTAGACGCTTTGAGGATTTAAACATTTTTTAAAGTTAATATTGTAAAAATACAGAAGAATCCTACAAAATCTGACCTTTGTGAAAGCCAGATGCCAGGTCAGAACACGAGGAGTTTGATTTCACAAAAAATACATTGCTGCTCTGTGGGAATTCTTTCAGGCCAGGAGCTGCAGTACCTGGAGCCGCCACTAGTGGGACTCAGTCACGGACAAAAGGGAAGGAGCTTATCTATGGAGTAAGAAAGCTGTCAAAAATATTCGTGCGCATAAAATAGAAATCCATGCATATTTGGCTGTAGTTGCTCATAAAAAAATATTTGTAAACTCTCAAATGAGTCCAGTCGTACATAAAATATATTGTGTGTATTTTATCCATCAGAATACAAATTGAAAAATTACAACGTCATGAATTACAATCACGAAATGAAAATTTACGATTACGCTTTCATCAGTACGAATACGAATTCACAGACGGAACTTTACTGTCAAAAATACGTCATCACTTCACAGACATTATTCATCGAGCAGAAGAAACATCGATCAAGATCAAGACTGAGCAGCTCAAGTTTGTAGCAGAGTAAAAACAGAGTAAAAGCACAAGAAGCTACAACAGAACAACAAGTGGTTCATTAAAATCTATTGTAAAAATGTCTTGAATTCGGGAACCGAACGCTGCTGTATAATATTGTGTAGAAACACCTCCTCTGAACGGGAAATTGCACCTATATGTTAGAAAACATAGTGGAGCCAGTTGGCAACATCAGACGTAACGTTATCCCAGGGCTAATTAACAAATATCAGGTTCTCTGTATGTTTAGATTAAAACATTCACGACTACAGCCACAGCGAAGCATCAGTCAGTCTGAACCTTCAGCTGCATTTCAGACAATGGGTTATACATGAGTTATAATGGGTTATACATGAGTTATAATGGGTTATACATGAGTTATAATGGGTTATACATGAGTTATAATGGGTTATACATGAGTTATAATGGTTATACATGAGTTATAATGAGTTATACATGAGTTATAATGGGTTATACATGAGTTATAATGGGTTATACATGAGTTATAATGGGTTATACATGAGTTATAATGGGTTATAATGAGCAAATCCATCCACGTCACGGTGACGTTAAACTTACCGGTAAATACTGTAAACATACCAAGGTGTTGCCTGTAAACACGAACATTAATTGATGCTGGAAGCTGCATTAAAGTGTAATGTGGAACATTTCATTAGCTGTGACGTCTGTAACCAGGACAGTTTGGTGTTTGGTGTAAACTGGGACATTTCAGCGTCCGGAGGAACTTTTGGTGGCATTTCATGCGAGAAATGCAGCTGAAGGTTCAGACTGACTGATGTTCGCTGTGGCTGTAGTCGTGAATGTTTTAATCTAAACATACAGAGAACCTGATATTTGTTAATTAGCCCTGGGATAACGTTACGTCGGATGTTTGCCAACTGGCTCCACTATGTTTTCTAACATATAGGTGCAATTTCCCGTTCAGAGGAGGTGTTTCTACACAATATTATACAGCAGCGTTCGGTTCCCGAATTCAAGACATTTTTACAATAGATTTTAATGAACCCACTTGTTGTTCTGTTGTAGCTTCTTGTGCTTTTACTCTGTTTTTACTCTGATACAAACTTGAGCTGCTCAGTCTTGATCTTGATCGATGTTTCTTCTGCTCGATGAATAATGTCTGTGAAGTGATGAAGGATTTTTGACAGTAAAGTTCCGTCTGTGAATTCGTATTCGTACTGATGAAAGCGTAATCGTAAATTTTCATTTCGTGATTGTAATTCTTGACGTCGTAATTTTTCAATTCGTATTCTGATGGATAAAATACAATATATTTTATGTACGACTGGACTCATTTAAGAGTTTACAAATATTTATTTTATGCGCAACTACAGCCAAATATGCGCATGAATATTTTTGACAGCTTTCTTACTCCATACTTATCCAGTTCTTATTATTGATCCATGTTTACACTGAGCTGGAGCCAGGATGGAGTCTCATTTTTAGCTCAGAGTTTGTTTTTTTATCCTTATGAAACAAAACCAGGCACAGTTTAACTCACAGAATTAAAAGAGCGCCCCCCACAGTCCAGCCCTGACACTGCTCCGCTCTGCTCTGCTCCTCGCTCAGGCCACGCTGCAGTCGACCAGAGGCAAAGCTCGTCTGCAGAGGAAGGTGGAGCGGAGGAGGCAGGACGGAGGAGGAGGGGGCGGGGCCTTCAAAGTGTCCGAGGACGGGAGGAAAAGTGTGCGCTCCCTGTCCGGCCTCACGCTGGGGAACGACGTCATGCTGCTCAAACACGGAACGTACCGAGAACTCACCGACCCGGACCACAGGTGAGTACAGACTCCAAAACGTACTCGAGTAAAAGGAACGTTACTTCAGAATAGTATTACTCAAGTAGAAGTACAAAGCAGTGGTCTAAGTACAGTAATTTCTCAAGTAAGAGTAAAAATGCAACTCAAGCAAAAGACAGACACAAAAATGAGACAAACTAAATCATGTCTGAAGGAGCGCTGCAAGAAACACAAAAGTTCAAATCAAATCTAGTATTAGTAGGTGACCAGATGAGATTGGCTAAATTTTTTTTTTTTTTTTTAATAATAATAAATAAAGTTTCAAAGACCGTACTACTTTTGATGTGTTGGTACAGTGTATTTTGTCGTCTAACATCTGCCTCTCCTCCGTGAGAAACACCAAACTCTTTTCTTCACACTTTTACAAATTTCTTTCATTTCATTGCTTTGGGTTTTAGTTCGTCAGTGCATATTCACGCCTAATTGTAGAACGTCAAAAAATAAATAAAAAAGATTAAGTAGGCAGGGCAGCGGCAGTCGACCCCACCTCTTTACCAACAGGTTTTAATGTTTATCAGAAAATAACTTCTCAGTGTTCTGTTTCAGTGTCATTTTCGGGACATTTAGGGACGGAGTCAGGATTCGGGACAACAGCTTAGATTTTGGGACAGTCCCGAATTTTTCTGGACGTCTGGTCACTCTAGGTATCAGATATCGGCGCCGATACTGACAGATTTGCTGGATCGGATATTGATTTCCAAATATCAAATCAGCCGATTTCCTGATTGTAAATATGAAGTCATGTCACAAAACTATTTACTGGTTGTATTGGCTCAGAAAGTCTTGTAATAATCTATCCATCCATCACTTATCCGGGGTCAGGTCTCGGGGGCATCAGTCTAAGCAGGGACTCCCAGACTTCCCTCACCCCAGACACTTCCTCCAGCTCCTCCAGGGGGACCCCTGAGGTGTTCCCAGGTCAGTCCAGAGACATCGTCCCTCCAGTGTGTCCTGGGTCTTCCCCGGGGCCTCCTCCCGGTGGGACATGAACACCTCCTGAGGGAGACGCCCAGGAGACATCAGAACAGACGTCCTCCCCTCAGACGCTCCTCTCCACGTGGAGGAGCAGCGGCTCTACTCCGAGCGACTCAGCTCCCTCTTCACCACATCGGTCCAATACAGCGACCTGCCCACGCTGCACCAATATTTGGGACAGTCCCGAATTTTTTAAGACGTCTGGTCACTCTAGGTATCAGAAAATGGCACTGATACTGAAAAATCTGCGGATATCGACTTCCGCATCGGATATTGGAACAGCCGATATCCTGATTGTAAATATGAACTGATGTAATAAGATTATTTGATGGTTATATTTGTCCCAGAAAAGTCTCGTAAAGTTTTATTTACATTATGTACTCAAAGTTGTTCAGTAATTACTTGAGAGTAAATGACAACTACATAACACAGTTCGATCAGTTCTGTTTTATTATATTTTTGTTTAAAGGAAATAAAATGCTGCTGTTCTGGTATCGGTTTGTATCGGTTATGGGTCGATACTTAAAGCTTTAGTATCGGAATCTGTATCGGAACTGAAAAAGCTGGATCGGTGCATTCCTACATTTCAGATTGTCACAGAAAACTTTTGTCACTTTAGACTCACAGCGAGAACAGGAAGCTCAACTTTTACTCAAGTAAGAGTACAGTTACTTCAGTGAAATATTAATGAGTAGGAGTAAAAGTTTGCTGTTAGAAAAGTACAATTTCTTTAAAAAGTGACTCACCTCTGCGCAGGGACCGAGGGCGACCGCACGTCCGTCACATGTTCCATCCCCGCGGCGTCTCCGAGGGCGACGGCGAGGAGGACGCGGTGTCCGTGGCGACGAGCGACACGGGCGTCTCCAGGGCGATGAGCGACCCGGGGCTGTACGAGGCGGCGGGGTCGGAGGTCAGCGCCGACTCGGGGAGGGACTCGCTGTTCAACCGGCCCGGGCTGGGGACCATGGTCTTCAGGAGGAACTACAGACCCAGAGCCCAGGACCAGAGCAGCGTGGCGGGCAGCGAGCCGACGAGGAACGCCCCCAACGTCCAGCAGAGAGGGGGACGCCTCCACAACAAGGGTGAGGAGGGACGACACAAAACTGACCCCTGTGAGCTTTAAGTCAGGTTTGAATGTTTTTACGTACTTAAAAACATACGGAAGTTGAGAGGGGTCACAACAAACGCAAACGCCGCAACAAATACAAATGTGACAACACAACAAAAAGCCACAACACAACAAAAAAAAGCCACAACGGAAATGACCGCGGGACTCTATTTTAATGCAAACGCCGCAACAAATACAAAACGCCACAACACAAATGCAAACGCCGCAACACATTAAAAAGCCACAACACATTAAAAAGCCACAACACATTAAAAAGCCACAACACATCAAAAAGCCACAACCAAAGTGACAGTGGGACTCTATTTTCCAACGGACCGATCAAGTGGCAAGTGAAGAAGAAGAACTACAACGTGAAAAGTAAAGGAATGGAGAAGTCGGAAATGTAAGTAAAAGTAATTTATTGTTTTATCATTATTCCTTTCACGTTGGCACGGTGGCTGAGTGGCTAGCACTCATGCCTCACAGCAAGAAGGTTCTGGGTTCGATCCCCGGGTCGCCTGGGCCTTTCTGTGTGGAGTTTGCATGTTTCTCCTCGTGTCTGGGTGGTTTCCTCCATCAACCCAAAACCTGCTCCAGGTCAGTTAAATACAATCAATTCAATCATTGTGTCCTTAGGCAAGGCACCTCACCCACATTGCCTAGTATGAAAGTGGTGGTTGGAGGGACCGATGGCGCTGATTGGCTTGGCAGCTGTGCTTCTGTCAGTCTGCCCCAGGGCAGCTGTTGCTACAGTAGTAGTTTACATCACCAGGTGTAGAGTGAATGAATAATGCTGAATAATTCTCTGTAAACAGTGTTGTGGAGTAACAGATTACATGGACCAGAGTTATGTAATCAGAGTACAAATTATGAGTAACTGTATTCAGTTACAGTTACTGAGTTACTGTTTCAATGAGTGGTAATCGGATTACAGTTACTTTGTTGAAATAAATGGATTTCACAGTGGTATTTTTCGGTTTTCACATTTTGGGCTATATCTCTCTCTTTTTTTTTTTTTTTTTTTGATAATTCCACTCATTGCCAGACTCTAATTCAGGTCTGAACCAGGTCTAAACCAGGTCTAAGCCAGGTGTAAAACCAGGTCTAAACTAGGACTAAACCAGGACCAAATCCAGGTCCAAAACAGGTCTAAACCAGGACTAAACCAAGACTAAACCAGGTCTAAGCCAGGTGTAAAACCAGGTCTAAACTAGGACTAAACCAGGTCTAAACCAAGACTAAACCAAGACTTATCCAGGTCTAAACCAGGTGTAAAACCAGGTCTAAACCAGGACTAAACCAAGACTAAACCAATTCTAAACCAGGTCTCAAACAGGATTTAACAGGACTAAATCCTGCTGTGTGGACGTGTCTCTTCGTCTTCAATCAATATTATTTTTAATACGGTTCAGTAAAGTCTGGGCTTTTTATTTTCCTGGTCTTTGCTTCTCTACAACAAATCAAGTAATCCAAAGTATTCAGATTACGTTACTCACCTTAAGTAATTTAATGGATTACGTTACAAACTACATTTTGGTGTATGTAATCTGTAATCTGTAATCTGTAGGGGATTACATTTTAAAAGTCACCTTCCCAACAACAAACCATTTTTGGGAAATGGTTTACAGAAAATGTCTGTGAAAAGCACTGTATAAATAAAGACTTACTTACTTACTTACAGATAAAAACTACAAACATGGAGGATACAGCACTCTGAGGACTACAAATAAAAAAACTACAAACATGGAGGACACAGAGGACTATTGATGCATCCCTTAAATTTGAAAAAACGCTGCTCAAACTGGAAATTTGACTCTAAACTCTAAACAGCTCCTTTCGCCTTTAGGTCAGTCGAGATCATCAACTCCAGAGCTGAAATGATCCGGATGATTCTAGTGAAGGTGTGTGGAGTTTAAGAAACACAACAGAGCACTTCCTGTTTCACCACATGATGACATCACAAGGCGGAACAGGTGGAGTGTTTTCAGTTTGAGAGAAGAACTCAGCCTAAATGTGCAGCGTTTGTGAGTTAAACATGTGCGAATGAAACAAAACACAACTCCAGGTCTGTCACAAACAAAAAAAAGTGCTCCTCTGTGTTTTTAAACTCCATACATCAAGAATTTGCTGCTAATTGTAATTAAAAAGTTAAAAAGTGAAGCTCCCTGTTTTTTTGTTTTTTGCATGTCGACTGGAGATAGATGTTTGTTGCAGGTTACCATGGAGACGATCTTGTAGTTTTATTTTGTTCCTCCGGCTCCTCGGTGCTGACCCGGTGTCTCCTCCAGGTGGCGCTCCGCTGGTCCGGTCCCCCAGCCTGGATCTGGACTCGGTGTCGGACTTCAGCTCGGTGTCTGTGGAGGGAAACTGGGAGCAGGACCAGGAGCAGTTCCTCACGTCTCCACTAGAGGTGTTCATGGCCTCGCTGGGACTCGAGGATCTCACCCAGGTCTTCATCAGAGAGGACCTGGACCTGGAGGTACTGAACCAGGACTGAAACGGGTCCAAACTAGGGACTAGATCAGGACTGAACCAGGCCTAAAACAGGACTAAACCAGGACTGAACCAAGACTAAACCAGGACTAAAACGGGGCTAAACCAGGGACTGAACAAGGACTGAACCAGAACTGAACAAGGACTAAACAGGACTAAAACGGGTCCAAACTATGGACTAGACCCAGACTAAACCAGGAGTAAAATGGATCTAAAACCAGGACTGAACCAGGACTAAACTGGTCTGAACCAGGACTGAACAATGATTAAACCGGGACTGAACCAGGACTAAAACAGGTCCAAACTATGGACTAGACCAAGACTAAACCAGGACTAAAACAGATCTAAACTAGGGACTAGATCAGGGACTGAACGAGGGACTGAACCAGGACTAAACCCGGTCTAAACCTGATCTTTCTGCAGGCGTTGGTCTTGTGCACAGAGGAGGACCTGAGCGAGGTCCAGATTCCTCTGGGCCCCAGGAAGAAGCTCATAGACGCCCTCAACAGGAGACTGGAGGTACTGCAGCTCACAGCCGGACCCATGGAGGACACAGCACTCTGAGGACTACAGATAAAAACTACAAACATGGAGGACACAGCGCTCTGAGGACTACAGATAAAAACTACAAACATGGAGGACACAGCAGCTCTGAGGACTACAGATAAAAAACTACAAACATGGAGGACACAGCGCTCTGAGGACTACAGATAAAAACTACAAACATGGTGGACACAGCGCTCTGAGGACTACAGATAAAAAACTACAAACATGGTGGACACAGCGCTCTGAGGACTACAGATAAAAAAACTACAAACATGGAGGACACAGCGCTCTGAGGACTACAGATAAAAAACTACAAACATGGTGGACACAGCGCTCTGAGGACTACAGATAAAAACTACAAACATGGTGGACACAGTGCTCTGAGGACTACAGATAAAAAAACTACAAACATGGAGGACACAGCGCTCTGAGGACTACAGATAAAAAACTACAAACATGGAGGACACAGCGCTCTGAGGACTACAGATTAAAAAACTACAAATATGGAGGACACAACGCTCTGAGGACTACAGATAAAAACAACTACAAACATGGAGGACACAGCGCTCTGAGGACTACAGATAAAAACAACTACAAACATGGAGGACACAGCGCTCTGAGGACTACAGATAAAAACTACAAACATGGAGGACACAGCGCTCTGAGGACTACAGATTAAAAAAACTACAAATATGGAGGACACAACGCTCTGAGGACTACAGATAAAAACAACTACAAACATGGAGGACACAGCGCTCTGAGGACTACAGATAAAAACAACTACAAACATGGAGGACACAGCGCTCTGAGGACTACAGATAAAAAAACTACAAACATGGAGGACACACAGGACTATTGATGCATCCCTTAGATTTGTTTTTTTTTTAAAAAAAAAAAAAATCCCTGGACGTGAAATGGATAATGATCATTTTTTCATTTTGGTTTTTGAGAAAAATAAAAGAAAATTGTTGTTTTTTTGTTTTCTTATTTTTGGTTTTATATTGAAAAACGAATGAACGAATGACACACAGATTCTCCTTCACCTCGACCGTCCGATAGAGCGACCTGCATCACTGCAGATCCTCCTGTCAATCTAACGCTCCATCCTCCCGAGATTCCTGAACTCCTCCACATGAGGCAGGGACTCTCCTCCACCTGGGACATTTATTTATTGATTGATTTATTTATTTGCAGACACAACAGACCTTTTGGTCAGAGGGTACATTTTAAACCCACTGCGCCTCTTTTCTGTTTGTCCATGTCTATTTATTTTGTTGATTTCATCATGTTGCTCAAACTGAATCGTTCCTTTTTGTTTTTATCACAATCAGTGTTAGACCGAAGTTTTCAGTTCATATTTTGATGCTGCCGCTCGTCTGTTTGTTTAACCTCAAAGTATTTTATACAGTGAATATTTTTATCGATTTATTTGAGAAACATGATCGTCCTGAGTTTTATTTCCGTCCTGTGAGAAAATATGAACAGAACAGAACCATGCCAGTTTATTTACTATTGTCTCTTACGGTTTATGAGGCAGGTTTAGAGTGACCAGAATTTCTAAATAAAAAACTTGGACACTCAGTTTTTTGGTGGTTGGTGTAATTAAGGAGAACTGTTCTGCACTCGGTCCATTTATGTTGAACATGAGTCAGTTTAGTCACATTTTCTTTGTGTTTTTGTCATTTTTAAGCATCTTTTCGATAATTTTACCAAAACAAATGTTTATGCCTCTTTTTACTGTTGTCAGGTCTCAAATTGGTCAAAAATAGAGTCACCTGGGACATTTCTTGTATAAAACTGGAACAAATCAGTGGTTTTGTGTAAATCTGTTGGGACAGGGGACACAGGGCGTGTAGTATTTATTAAATTTATTTTATTTATTAGTAACATTGATCACTGACTGTACATATTTATTTCTTTATTTGATATAAAGCTGAGCCTTTTGTGAAAATGATGCATGAATGATTTATGATCATGTTTTTGTACTTCTTTTAATAAAGTGCTTCCAATACAATGACACAGGCTTAGAAATATGTTATTATTATTTTATTATTATTAATGTAAATGTAAAAAAGACAAGATATTCCCGGACGTGACGTCATCGTGTTTTCTCGTATTTAATTGAATTGAATTTTTGTCTGCCTGACTCTTGTTACTGCGGCTGCTGCAGTGTTCGTTAAGGTCAATTTGCCTAATTGTACCTAAAAAGAAGTGAAATAATGAGTCAGGACATTTAAGTATGAGGTTTTAAGACTGAACTGATGAAGTGTTGAAGTTTTGCAGCGTTAGAACTTTTAGTGTGGTTTACGTGATGTTGGCATTAGCATCGTGTGTGGTAAACAGTGCTGGGAAGGTGACTTTTAAAATGTAATCCCCTACAGATTACAGATTACATACACCAACATGTAGTTTGTAACATAATCCATTAAATTACTTAAAGTGAGTAATGTAATCTGATTACTTTGGATTACTTGATATTGTCATGTTTTTTAAAAGGACATGAAAGTAACAACCACATCCTGAAAATTCTTGTTTGTTCTCTTCAAATTCTCTGTTGAGCCCAAGTCTCACTGAAAAAGCGACTGTTTGTTGTAGAGAAACAAAGACCAGGAAATCTTCACATAAGATGTTTTGTTTTGTCTGTTAAAAGAAAATAAAAAGTCCAGTCTTTCCTTAAGCAAATAAACAATATTATTGATAGAGAAATTGATTTCTATATGAGACACTGCTGCCGTAAATTATGTTCACACTACTGTTAGTGTCATTTTGTTTAGACCTGATTTAGTCCTGGTTTAGTCCTGATTTAGCCCAAAATGTGAAAACAGAAAAATCCCTCTGTGTAATCCATTTATTTCAACAAAGTAACTGTAATCCAATTACAACTCACTGAAACAGTAACTGTAACTGAATACAGTTACTCATAATTTGTACTCTGATTACATAATCCCGGTACATGTAATCTGTTACTCCTGACACTGGTGGTGAACTACATTTCACTTTAGCATCACTCAGTAAAAGGAAAACCACCGGGACTTTTAATGTCCAGGCGCCGGAGTGAAGTTTGCCCAACCCCCGCTCCTCCTCTCCTCCTCCTCCTCCTCTCCTCTCCTCCCTCCTCCCTCCTCTCCCTCCTCCTCCTCCTCCTCCTCCTCCTCCTCCTCTCCTCCTCTCCCTCCCTCCTCTCCTCCTCCTCCCTCCTCCTCTCCTCCTCTCCCTCCTCCTCTCCTCCTCTCCCTCCTCTCCTCCTCCTCTCCTCCTCTCCTCCTCCTCCCTCCTCCTCTCCTCCTCCTCCTCCCTCCTCTCCCTCCTCCTCCTCTCCTCCTCCTCCTCCCTCCTCTCTCCTCTCCTCTCCCTCCTCTCCTCCTCTCCTCCTCTCCTCCCTCCTCCTCTCCTCTCCCTCCTCTCCTCCTCTCTCCCTCCTCTCCTCCTCCTCCTCCTCTCCTCCTCCCTCCTCCTCTCCTCCTCCTCCTCCTCCTCTCCCTCCTCCTCTCCTCCTCTCCTCCTCCTCCTCCTCCCCTCCTCTCTCCTCCTCCCTCCTCTCCCTCTCTCCTCCTCTCCTCCTCTCCTCTCCTCCTCCTCTCCTCTCTCCCTCCTCTCCCTCCTCCTCCTCTCCTCTCCCTCCTCTCCCTCCTCTCCTCCTCCTCTCCCTCCTCCTCCTCCCTCCTCCTCTCCTCCTCTTCCTCCTCTCCCTCCTCTCCCTCCTCTCCCTCCTCTCTCCCTCCTCCCTCCTCTCTCCTCCTCTCCCTCCTCCTCCTCTCCTCCTCTTCCTCCTCTCCTCCTCTCTCTCCTCCTCTCCTCCTCCCTCCTCTCCTCTCTTCCTCTCTCCTCCTCCTCTCTCTCCCTCCTCTCCTCCTCTCCCTCCTCCTCCCTCCCTCCTCTTCCTCGGATCTCGTTTGGTTCCCAGAAAACTGTGCCACGGTTCCCCAGGCGGGCGGGGCGCGGGGTGCGGGGTGCGGGCGGGGTGCAGGAGCGGGCGGTGGATGCGGGGGGAGGACACTGACACCGGGATGAGGTCGTTAATATTTTAGGAGTAACCGGAGCAGAGGGGGGGGGGGGGGGGGGGGGGGGGGGTCTGCGCCTGAAGAGGTTTGCGCAATCCTCCCTCTGCCCCGGAGACTTCAACACAGAAAACATAGAGGGCGCAGAAACAGAGCACGTGCAACTCGAGCAACTCCAACAACAGCAGCAGCGGAGCAGGGAGGGAGTCCCAAGATGGCCGCCGCACCACACCGACACTGAGATCTAGAATAAAAACGTTTATTTTATTATAGTTATTTTATATAGCCAGAATATAAATAAATATATATTAAAATAAACGATTAAATAACTATACATAATATATATAAATATATAAATATATAATATATATATATATATATATATATATATATATATATATATATATATATATATATATATATATCGTTTTAATACAGTTATTTAATAAGTCTAGGATTTTTTATTTCATTTCATTTTATTATAGTTCTATGCATAAAGTCAAGCCAGAGATCTTAATTTAGTCCTTTTAATTTTATAAACAACGGGGGGAAAAAAGAATTCGAGTTATTTCATAAGTCAGGGATTTTTATTTTATTTTATTATGTATTTATTTTATTATTTAATTTATTTTGTTTTGTTTTGTTTTATTTTATTATATTATATTTTATTTTAGCTTCATTTTTATATAAAGTTCTATGCACAAAGCCAAACCAGAGATCTTAATTTAGTCATTTTAAATTTGTAAACAACAGAAAAGAAAAAAAAAGAAAAGAAAGAAAGAAAGAAAAGAAATAATCATAATCTTAATTATAAACAACGAAGTCAGGACAAATGTATAATTCTTTCACATGTAAAGTTCAGTTAAAGTTATTGACTGCTCCTAAAGTGTTAATGGTACAGTTAATTAAGACCAGTTCAGACAACTAAATAAACTATTATACTGGTAATAAAGATATTTAAATAAATAAATAACAAACAAAGAAGTAAAATATAAGCGTCAGAAATATATTGTTACCATTGTTTTCAGTGTTCAATGTTAATATTAAGTGTAGTTGCTTCTGTCATATCATTGTTATCATTTTGTGTTATTAGGTTTGGTTTACTTTGTTTTATTTTATTTTATTTTATGTTCTTATGTTTTTTCTTTGTTTTATTTTGTTTTTGTTTTCCAACTATGGCATGAACTTGAATGTTTGTTTTATGTGACTATAGTGTATTATATTGTATGTATCTATTATACAAATAAATAAATAAATAAATAAATAAATGTTAAGTGTAGTAAACGGTACTGGCCACGTGAGGGCGCACTACAGAGACTGCGTGTATTTACTACGGGGAAAGTAAAGTTATTGCTATAAAAATCTTATTTCTTAACATAAAAAATTGAAAGCTACTGTGTTGAATTAAAGATGTACACAGTGTCTATTGGTATAAAATCTAAAATATGTGGAAAAGTGAGTGAAACATGTTTTTTTGGAGGACTGTAATTGCATTGATTTTAATTGTAGAATGAAAGTGTCCAGTCCCAACATGGCGGCCGTCCTGTCGCACGCTCCGCTCGCTCAGACCTGCGCTGCGGCTTCTGGGATCCTCCGGGTTCAGGAAGAGTTTAAAAGAGGACGGAGCCGCAGGGACCGCGCCGCTCCGGCTCTGAAGTGTCCGATGGAGACGCACCGAGTCCCGCAGGAGCAGAGGGAGCGCGGCCGCGGAGAGGACGCGGACGCGGACGCGGGGATGAAGAAGAGGCGGGCTGCGGGCGGCGTGCAGCCCGGGACAGAGGCGCAGGGGAGCGGGCGGAGCGGGCGGAGCGGCGCGGAGGAGACGCTGATGCTGGAGCTGCGGAGGCTGGTGCAGGAGCAGGTGAAGGGCAGCAGCTGGTGGGAGCTCCGCGGGAAAGACTGCACCATCCTCGGCCTGGCCTTTGTGGCGCTGGTCCCCGGTAAAACTTTACTCTGTTCCACACTAATAATTAATAATAACACATTTTATGAATATAGCGCTTTTTAAAGAGAACATTTACAAAACAAGGTGAGCTGACAAAACACTGGCATAAATATAAAAGCAGGTTAAACTTCAAAACGGTTCTGAATGAAATAAAACGCTTCAGGTGCACGCGGTTCCCACGGTCATGGAAATCCTGGAAAATAATTTTGTAAATTCAGTGAAAGTTTTGGAAAATTCATGGAATTTTACGGTAGAAGGCGATCTCTTTCACACAACTACAGAGTTCTGTGAAGTTCTCATGAGGCAATTCTGATTATTTCTGAACGTTTGCACCTTTTGTTTAAAAGAGACGACAGTAAATGCACTGACAGGATTTTAATGTTAAAAAACTATAATACCAGGAGGGTTGTGCAAAAATATCAAAATAACGATGTATATCGTATCGTTTAATGTGATGATACAGTACGATATCGTAGGCTGTTGTATCGATATATCGCCAAGAGTATTTTTTGGTTTATTTACCAACATATGAGCGAAGTGTCTAAGTTTTACTTTCATGCAGCTCTGTCTTGTGTCATGTTTTTGTTCACTTCTGCATGAATTATCGTGTGGGAGCATGTGTGTGGGGGGGTGTAGGGTTATGGGCGGAGCCTTGTACCGACTTGTACTGCTGACCGTGAGGAGGGTTTGAATAGGGCCCAGGAGAGATCGCTAGATTACTCAAACATGCATGGATGACTCTAAGTCATGTCCTATTTTTTTAAATTACTTTTTGGCAAATAATAACACGTCTGCATCTTGTATTTTGTAGATTTTTTCAGTTAAAAGTTATATGAAGTATTTATATTTGTATCTAAATAATTATATGTCGTATTTACATTTACCACCGAATTTTCATCCCCTGACAAACTGCAGATCAAACAGTGACAGTCGCAGGTGCAGAGTTCTGTGGTGCAGTTTAGGACAGAAAAATGTCTCGTGTTAAAGTACGAAAAGTTGACAGAGAGAGACAAGTTTTCAAAGAACTAAAGATAATTTTTTTGTTCAGCGTGAGGATTGTGCAGTTTGTCTGATGTAAAGAAAGTGCGGAGGTTTTCAAAGAATATAATCTGTGTCGTCAGGGTCAAGCACTTCTGTTCTACGACCTCGACCCCCGTCACAGTCTGGACAGATAATGTGGTTCGGTGACGCCTGATTTAAAACCTCTTCAGACTCGTTTGTGATGAAGGACGACGTTAGAACACGAGAGAAATGAAAGGGAAAAAGATGAAACGTTGCCCAGTGTCGCTCGTGTTCACGTCGAGCGTAGAAAAGTGGGTCAGATCAATCGCATACATTTCCCATGAACCTGCCGTGACCTTTGACCCTGTTCTTTATACACAGTTTACTACAGAACAATAACCTACATCAGACACTTTCCTTCCTTTGTACAAAGACGCGGCAGTGACCACGTTTTAACTTGAAATAATCTGATCTCTGTTCTAACGTCGTTTCCTCGTCACAAACAAACCTGGAGCTGAGTTTAGTCTTGCTCCAGTTTGGTTTGGTTTCGTCCTGTCAAGAGATTAAAAAAACTGAGAGATTAATGAATTATGATCTGTAATTAATTGATCTAATTCATCTCTTTTTTTAATCACACCTAAAAATTGCTGAGAAAAGCTTCAACTTGAGGTATTTTAATTTAAATTCATTATTACATTATTATGGCAGATCAAAAGACTGATACACAGTGTTGTGGAGTAACAGATTACAAGTACCAGAGTTATGTAATCAGAGTACAAATGATGAGTAACTGTATTCAGTTACAGTTACTGTTTCAGTGAGCGGTAATTAAATTACAGTTACTTTGTTGAAATAAATCGATTACACAGCGATATTTTCCTGTTTTCACTTTTTTTTCACATTTCACTTTTTTTTTTGTAATTCCACTCATTGCTGGACACTAAACCAGGACTAAACCTGGACTAAACCTGGTTTAGTCCTGGTTTAAATCCTGGTTTAGCCCAAAATGTGAAAACAGGAAAATATCGCCATGTAATCCATTTATTTCAACAAAGTAACTGTAATCCAATTACCACTCACTGAAACAGTAACTGTAACTGAACTGAACAAACTGAAGTTTGTTTAGAGGAAGGAAACTCATTTTTGCGACACATTTGACATTTTCACTGTTTTGATGATGAAAATGTTTGTGTTTCAGATGAACTTTGCACAAGAAGAAGTGGTTTAACAAACACTTTTAGAATCACAGACATGATTTAGACTTTATTTTTTATTGGACCGTATCGAATCGATTTGAAATATATCGTATTGAATTGAAGTGCACTGTATCGAGGTATGTATCGTATCGGCTCATCTGATGCAAAATAACTCTTTTCACATTGTATCTTCTGCACATAAACAAGCACAGTTTGGGTTTTGGAACGTCCATTACACAATAGATTTCTTGGAGACGTCACAAACCAGGAACTATGAAAGTCCGACTATTGCTCCTCCCCCCGCCCGTCCTGAGAAAGCACAGGCTCCGCCCTCCAAACGTGACGTAGGCGACGAGTGAGCCGCCCTTCCTCCGCCGTCTCAGGGAGGGAGGGGGAGACAGACGTGACCCTGATAGAGGCAGGAATAAACTTTTATTCATCATGGAGATACAGCGCGTTCAGCCGCATGTGTTGGACCCGGAATCGGACGAGGACTTTGAGGAGCACGAAGCTCAAGCACCGCGTCGATTTATTTATTTATTTCTATTCTATGATTTTGTTTTTATTTTATTTTACTGGTTTTATTTTATTTTGCTGGTTTTATTTTATTTTACTGGTTTTACTTTATTTTACTGGTTTTATTTTATTTGACAGGTTTTATTTTATTTTACTGGTTTTATTTTATTTTACTGGTTTTATATCATTTTAGTGGTTTTATATTATTTTACTGGTTTTATATTATTTTACTGGTTTTATTTATTTACTGGTTTTATTTATTTTACTGGTTTTATTTATTTTTACTGGTTTATTTTATTTTACTGTTTTATTATTTTACTGGTTTTATTTTATTTTACTGGTTTTACTTTATTTTACTGGTTTTATTTTATTTTATAGTTTTTATTTTATTTTACTGGTTTTATTTTATTTTACTGGTTTTACTTTATTTTACTGGTTTTATTTTATTTTACTGGTTTTATTTTATTTTACTGGTTTTATTTTATTTTACTGGTTTTATATCATTTTAGTGGTTTTATATTATTTTACTGGTTTTATATTATTTTACTGGTTTTATTTTATTTTACTGGTTTTATTTTATTTTACTGGTTTTACTTTATTTTACTGGTTTTATTTTATTTTACTGGTTTTATTTTATTTTACTGGTTTTATTTTATTTTACTGGTTTTATTTTATTTTACTGGTTTTATTTTATTTTACTGGTTTTATTTTATTTTACTGGTTTTATTTTATTTTACTGGTTTTATTTTATTTTACTGGTTTTATTTTATTTTACTGGTTTTATTTTATTTTACTGGTTTTATTTTATTTTACTGGTTTTATTTTATTTTACTGGTTTTATTTTATTTTACTGGTTTTATTTTACTTTTACTGGTTTTATTTTATTTTACTGATTTTATATTATTTTACTGGTTTTATTTTATTTTACTGGTTTTATTTTATTTTACTGGTTTTAATTTATTTTACTGGTTTTATTTTATTTTACTGGTTTTATTTTATTTTATTTTACATTTTCGTTGTAGCAGCTTTAGTTCGTTGTCATGTGGGAGGGTGGCAGAAATACACTGAAAGCTCTGAAAAGTTGTTTTTGCATCAGATGGGCCCTTTAATGATACTCAGTCCTGTTCACTGTGTCGTTGTTTATTTTCATATGTTCTTATTTTCTGTGACACAAACTTTACCAAAAAGAGTGATTCAAAAACTCAGGATTTACACCTTATAACAGATCACACTTTAGTAAAGACAGTCGTGTCATGTGACCAGGGGCAGGTCATGTGATCTGTGAGTAACTGTAAATGACCCTGTGCCTCTGAAATATTAAAGAGTTTCTGACACGGACTTCAGGAGTTTGTGTTTCTTCGTTTACACAAACCTGTCCTGGTCAGACCTTTAATTTGATGTAATGAGACTTAAATAATATGAGATAATAAGATTTACTGCCTGATGTAATAAATAATAATAAGAAGAAGAATACATCAGACTTATATAGCGCTTTTTTGGATGCTCAAAAACACTTTACAAACAAATAGGAACAAATGATCTGTCTCTTAATTAGGGCTGTGCAAAAATATTGAAATTTCAATATATCGTATAATTTAAAATCAATATTGTGGGCTGCTGTATTGACGTATTGTAGAGTATTTTTTGGTATATTTTACAAAATTATTTTACAGCTACAGTTTTGTTGTTTGTTTACATCAGGAGTGTCAAACTCATTTTGGTCCGGGGGGTCGTGTCCAACCGACTTTGATCCAAAGTGTCCGGATCAGAAAACTCATGTCATATAAACCCCAAAAATAACAATGCGTTCAAATATTTGTGCAGAGAAACACAAATTTGTTACAGAAATCTGTTTAAATTGATGAACTTTTTCTTTTACAAAATATTGAAATATTATGAACAACCTGAAACTTTAAGAAAAATACAATTTCAACACAATGTTTTAACATGAACTTGTATGTAAATAGGAATAAGTTCATTTTTGTTGTAAAATTCTGCACTCGGCTCCACTTTTCTCATGTTGGACATTTTTCTGATGAGGGTGTCACGGTCAACAGTCAAAACGATCGTCCTTTAAGAGCGTTTGGAAAGAGACAAGTCTTCATTTGTGCTGCTCTGGTGGGAGGGGCCACGTACAGAGACGCTGGAGACGCTGCTGCGATAAACACCACAGAAAATTAACAAGATTTTAATAGAAAATATCATAAAAATATTTTAGTAGAAAATCAGCCGAGGGCCAGATTAAAGGTCTTGCAGGACCGGATCCAGCCCCCGGGCCGTGTGTTTGACAACCCTGGATTAGAGGAAGGAAACTCGTTTATGCGACACATTTGACATTTTCACTGTTCTGATGAATAAAATGTTTGTGTTTCATATGAATTTTGCACAAGAAGTGGTTTAACAAAGACTTTTATTATCACAGACTTGATTTAGATTTTATTTTTTATTGAACCGTATTGAATCAATTTGAAATATCGAATTGTATTGAATCAAAAGTGCACTGTATCGAGGTATATTAATGACATCAGCCCTGCTCATGTTTGAATGTTTATTCATTCAGAGCTTTTCAGTTTTGACTTAAGTTACAAGATAAATAACATTTACGGAGCACAACTGGATCCATTTTATTATAAGTTAACTGTGTTTTTTCACTGTCTTCCTTTGACCTCTTGTATAAAGCTGTGATTTTTATATTTTATTATTAATTTTTCTATTTTATTTTGACTTGTACATTTACATTTAAACTATTATGTTTTATTTCACACATGTTTCTTGCTCTTTTTTGTTACTTATTTAGAATTTATTATCGACATTTATATTTTTGCTCTGTGTTATTATATTTATATTGTGACGTGTGACTCCTGTGTCCAAATCATTTCTCTTGTGGATCAATAAGGTTGAGAAGTTCTGCCTTAAACCTCGCCCCTCTGAGCTGTTTTCGTGGTGTTTCTCTGTCTTCGCCTCAGGGTTCCTGCATCTCATCTGCGCTCTTCGCATCTGACACACACGCATCTCATCTCGTCTTCGACACCCCGGCGCATCTGCATCTGGTCATCTGACACACACGGGGGAGGGCATCTGGGAGGGCATCTCATCTGACACACACGTCATCTGACACACACACGAGGGCATCTGACACACACAGGGAGGGCATCTCATCTGCATCTCCATCTGCCATCTCGTACCCTAGGGCATCTGACACACACGGGGAGGGCATCTGACACACACGGGAGGGCATCTCACACACAGGGCATCTGGCATCTGACACACACACGAGGGCATCTGGGAGGGTGGGCATCTGAGGGCATCTACACGGGAGGGCATCTGGGAGGGCATCTGACACACACACGGGGGAGGGCATCTCGAGGGCATCTGACACACACACGGGGGGGAGGGCATCTGACACACACGGGGGGGGAGGGCATCTGACACACACACGGGGGGGAGGGCATCTGACACACACGGGGGGGAGGGCATCTGACACACACACGGGGGGGAGGGCATCTGACACACACACGGGGGGGGAGGGCATCTGACACACACACGGGGGGGGAGGGCATCTGACACACACACGGGGGGAGGGCATCTGACACACACACGGGGGGAGGGCATCTGACACATCCTGAGCACTGAACTTTTTGGAACTTTTTGCTTTTTGAGCTCAGTTTTGAACATCACATCATGACAATTTTCCCACACGAGCGCAGTGCATTTTGGGAATTGTGAACTGCCCGTGTTCTTCAGGGCATCAGAGGTTCAGGGTCTTTCACAAAGGTCGGATTTTGTAGGATTATTTTCTATTTTCACAACATAAACTTTTTAAAGTGTTTAAATTCTCAAAGCTCCAAAAAGTGATCTTTGTCAGATTTATACGGGATGTACACATATTTTTGCGACCTACGACTGCCGATTGAGAGCTGGTCGTGAGGTGTTACTCCATGTTACTCCATGTTACTCCATGTTACTACATGTTACTACATGTTACTACGCCAAAAATCAGATCCCAAAAAGAGTTGCACGAGTGAAAAATCTGCTCAAAAAGGGCCAAAAATCGCACCGTGTAAACTTTTGTCCCATGAGCCGCTGAGCACAGACCCCTGAAAACAACACGACACATCTTGGATTCATCTTCAGATCTTATTACAGTTCTGTGGAAATGAGCCGTTTGTTTTTCCTGTTTCCATGGAGACCGTGTAAGAGGCAAGATAAGAATTTTGCCATGGACCTTTGAGATGCTTCAGGCTTTTTACACCGCACGTGATAAAAGACCTTCCAGAGGAAACACTTTGAGGGAACACTGCCCGAAACACCAGAGCGGAGTGAGAGTGAGGCCTTTTCTGTTGTGTTCACCCGGCGCCCCCTGGAGGCCGCTGTGACGCTGCAGGACACAGAGGACCTGACCCTCCCTGAGCAGTCCTCCTGACCAACTGAGACCTTTGACTCAGACTCAAAGGGACTGAGACGCACAGGGGAAATGTTACTGCAGCAAAACTTGAATTTACCTCAAGATGAATAAAGTGTCTCGCTGTTCCTCTCTCTCACTCACTGGGAGGGCATCTGACTCTCTGTGTCCTGTGTCTCTCAGGTGTGCGGTGCGTTCAGTGCGGACGCCGGGGTCCAGGCCCACGTGAAGCTGCATCACGCCCACACAAACGTGCTCGGTCTGGGAGACTCGTCCACCTGGAAAGTCCCGAGTCTGAGCCGAGGCCTGTACCTGTTCATCGCTCCGCTCGCCGTCCCCGTCATCACCCCGCTGGTCGCTCTCGGTACTGCGCCCACAACGGAGCAGGAGGAGTTGTAGTAGTAGTAGTAGTAGTAGTAGTAGTACTTTTACACATATATTCTGTCTGTTCCAGCCCAGTTGAAGCACCAGTCCGTGCTCTCGTCTCTCCGGACCCTCCTGATGGTTTCTCTGGGGCTCTGGTCTCACTTCTGGATCCTGGTCCGGGTCTGTGGGTTCTGCTCGGTTCCGTCTGCGCTCGGCTGCATGTTCTTCACCAGGAACCTGTTCTCTCTGCCGTACATCCACGTCAACATCTTCCAGGTAACAACACAAACCTTTAGACCACAGACTGTAAAGACGTGACGTCACTGCAGAGTTCAGCTCCAGGCAAATGAAGCTCATCGAGGCGGCAGTTACGCGGTGAATCTGGAGTTGATATTAAGAATGGGAATTTATTTATGGACAAAATAATGAAATAAAAACACCAGGATCATGTAGAACGGGTTAATACATTAACATTTTCAGACCAAAATGATGAGGTTCACAGCAGCAGGTACAGAGAGATTTTACGTTTCAGCATTTCAATGAAAAGTCATTTGGAGCCAAAGTCGATGGAGCCGTGCTCACTTCCTGTTTGGAACGCGGCGGCTAGTGTGTTAGCTATGTCCGTTCAGAGTTTGTGGTTACCCTGAACGCGCTGACTCACATCAGGCACAGTTACCGCCGCAGTCTAGGGTGTCCAGACTATGGCCCAGGGGCCAAATGCGGTCCTCAGGTTCTCTGCTCAATTGGCCTAAATGACCAAAAGTATTTTTACAGCAAATTTTCCAAATCCTGCTATTATAACTGTGATTCAGACGAAACATAAATGTCCCATAAAACACCGTCTTTTTAAAGGTGATTCTCTGAGTGATTCACTTAAATATTCTGTGTCTGTGTCACTACGCTCTTTAAATGTTATTTAAATATATTTAAATATGTTTAATTATGTTTAAATATATTTAATTATGTGTCCCTCAGAGACAGAGTTTACACCTCCAGTCTCTAAAGTCTTTTTCCACACAGTGACACAGAATCAAAGTGGCACAGTTTAACATTCCTCAGACACTGGACCCGGAGGTCCCATGGTCCAGACTCTACAGGTCACATGACTGTAATCCACAGATTTAAACCAGACCTGGAGCAGACCTGGAGCAGACCTGACTCTGATCTAATGCCACAGTCTGGTCAGGAGCTCATCACATGATCCACAGATTAAATCTCAAATATGAAATAAAAGGGAAAAGCAGAAACTTTGGCCAAAAAATATTTTAATTGTTAATCCCCATGGCAAGCAGGTCTCATTTCTCATCAGTGTGAAGTTCAGGCTCAGACTGACTCACACTTCACACTAAAACACCAGGTACAACAGAGCGGATCCACACTGAAGAAACATCTCACCTGCTCCTCCTCACTCCCTCCTCTCCTCCTCCTCCTCTCCTCCTCATCCTCCTCCTCTCTCCTCCTCCTCCTCTCCTCCTCTCCTCCTCTCCTCCTCTCCTCCTCTCTCTCCTCCTCACTCCTCCTCTCCTCCTCCTCTCTCTCTCTCTCCTCCTCTCTCCTCCTCTCTCCTCCTCTCTCCTCCTCTCTCCTCTCCTCCTCCTCTCTCCTCTCTCCTCCTCTCCTCTCTCCTCCTCTCCTCCTCTCCTCCTCTCTCCTCCTCCTCTCCTCCTCTCTCCTCCTCTCCTCCTCTCCTCCTCACTCCTCTCTCTCCTCTCTCCTCTCTCCTCTCTCTCTCTCTCCTCTCTCTCCTCTCCTCTCTCTCTCCTCCTCCTCCTCTCCTCTCTCTCTCCTCCTCTCCTCTCTCTCCTCTCTCTCTCCTCCTCTCTCCTCTCTCCTCTCTCCTCCTCTCTCTCTCTCCTCTCTCTCTCCTCCTCTCTCCTCTCTCCTCCTCCTCCTCTCTTCCTCTCCTCCTCATCCTCCTCTCCTCTCCTGTAGCACATCGGTCTGTCCATGTTCTCCCCGGACCAGAGACCAAAGAGGATTTTCCAGATGAGTCACGGTGTCCTGAACCTGCCCAGAAACCTGCTCCTGGACTGGACCTTCGGACACTCCCTGATCAGCTGCCACGTGGAGCATCACCTGTTCCCCACGCTGTCCGACAACATGTGTCTGAAGGTCAGGACTAACCCGGGACTAAACCAGGACTAAACCAGGACTAAAGTCCGACAACATGTGTCTGAAGGTCAGGAGGACTAAACCCAGGACTCAGGACTAACCGGACTAAACCAGGACTAAACCAGGACTAAAGTCCGACAACATGTGTCTGAAGGTCAGGACTAACCCGGGACTAAACCAGGACTAAACCAGGACTAAAGTCCGACAACATGTGTCTGAAGGTCAGGACTAACCCGGGACTAAACCAGGGACTAAACCAGGACTAAAGTCCGACAACATGTGTCTGAAGGTCAGGACTAACCCGGGACTAAACCAGGACTAAACCAGGACTAAACCAGGACTAAAGTCCGACAACATGTGTCTGAAGGTCAGGACTAACCCGGGACTAAACCAGGACTAAACCAGGACTAAAGTCCGACAACATGTGTCTGAAGGTCAGGACTAACCCGGGACTAAACCAGGACTAAACCAGGACTAAAGTCCGACAACATGTGTCTGAAGGTCAGGACTAACCCGGGACTAAACCAGGACTAAACCAGGACTAAAGTCCGACAACATGTGTCTGAAGGTCAGGACTAACACCGGGACTAACCCGGACTAAACCGGGACTAAACCAGGACTAAACCAGGACTAAAAACAGGACTAAAGTCCGACAACATGTGTCTGAAGGTCAGGATTAAACCAGGACTAACCCGGGACTAAACCAGGACTAAACGAGCACTAGACCAGGACTAAAGTCCGACAACATGTGTCTGAAGGTCAGGACTAAACCAGGACTAAACCAAGGACTAAGACCAAGACTAAAGTCCGACAACATGTGTCTGAAGGTCAGGACTAGACCAGGACTAAACGAGGACTAGACCAGGACTAGACCAGGACTAAACCAGGGCTAAAGTCCTACAACATGTGTCTGAACCTGAACCAGGACTAAACCAGGACTAAACCAGGTCTAAACTGGGTCTAAACCTGGACTAGACCAGGACTAGACCAGGTCTAAACCAGGTCTGACTCGTCTCGTTCCAGGTGAAGCCGGTCGTCAGTCGGTTCTTGAAGTCCAAGTCGTTGCCGTACCAACAGGACTCGTACTTGTCCCGCCTCCGACTGTTTTTCCACCAATACCACGAGCTCATGGTGCTGGCCCCGCCCATCACCGAGCTCGTGGGCATCCAATGAGAACGCGGGGTTTGATCAGCCGTCCAATCAGAGCACAGGACCTGGGGCACACCTGTCCAGAGGAGACGCGGGGTCACAGGTGAACGAGGAGCGAGGAAACACGACGCAGGATTCTCTTTGGGATTATTTTTGGAATTAAAGCCAAAACAGAAGTTTATACCAAATGTTTATGATTCAGATTTCTGTAAATACTGGAACTATTCACATGAAACTTATAATATACTTAAAGTTAAAGGTCAAATATTAAACATAAGTGACTCTTGTGAGATTTAAGTCGTGTTCTAAAGTTGTTTCCTCTTCAAAAACATAAACAGACCGGACTTGTGTTTTGTTTCTTCATGTTTGAGTAAATCTTTATTATGAGTCTGTCTACATCTGCGAAGCTCAAAACGCTCTGTTCCACCTTGTGATGTCATGAATAGGGTGACTAGACAACTCTGTTTCCCCGGGACAGTCCCAGGTGTCCCTATTTTTTGACCAATTTGATCTAATTCAGGACTAAACTAAGACTAAACCAGGACTAAACTAGGACTAGACCAGGACTAAAATTGGACTAGACTGGGACTAAACCAGGACTAGACCGGGAATAAATAGGGACTAAACTAAGACTAAACCAGGNAATTGAATCAAAAGTGCACTGTATCGAGGTATATTAATGACATCAGCCCTGCTCATGTTTGAATGTTTATTCATTCAGAGCTTTTCAGTTTTGACTTAAGTTACAAGATAAATAACATTTACGGAGCACAACTGGATCCATTTTATTATAAGTTAACTGTGTTTTTTCACTGTCTTCCTTTGACCTCTTGTATAAAGCTGTGATTTTATATTTTATTATTAATTTTTCTATTTTATTTTGACTTGTACATTTACATTTAAACTATTATGTTTTATTTCACACATGTTTCTTGCTCTTTTTTGTTACTTATTTAGAATTTATTATCGACATTTATATTTTTGCTCTGTGTTATTATATTTATATTGTGACGTGTGACTCCTGTGTCCAAATCATTTCTCTTGTGGATCAATAAGGTTGAGAAGTTCTGCCTTAAACCTCGCCCCTCTGAGCTGTTTTCGTGGTGTTTCTCTCTGTCTTCGCCTCAGGGTTCCTGCTCCTGCGCTCTTCGTCGCTCCTCGTCTTCGCCCCGGCGCTGCTGGTCCTGGGAGTCTGTCACGCCGTCATCACGGTGAAAGGAGCTCATCTGTCCAGCCACTCGTCCCTGAGCCGCTCGCCCCTCCTCAACCGCATCTGGGCCGTGTTCTTCATCGAGGTGAGGAGCGGGAGGGCATCTGACACACACGGGGGGAGGGCATCTGACACACACACGGGGGAGCATCTGGGAGGGCATCTGACACACACGGGGGGAGGGCATCTGACACACACGGGGGGAGGGCATCTGACACACACACACGGGGGGAGGGCATCTGACACACACGGGGGGAGGGCATCTGACCACACACGGGGGGAGGCATCTGACACACACGGGGAGGGCAGGGCATCTGACACACACACGGGGAGGGCATCTGACACACAGGGGGAGGGCATCTGACACACACACAGGGGAGGGCATCTGACACACACACAGGGAGGGCATCTGACACACACACGGGGGGAGGGCATCTGACACACACACGGGGGGAGGGCATCTGACACACACACGGGGAGGCATCTGACACACACACGGGGGGAGGGCATCTGACACACACAGGGGGAGGGCATCTGACACACACACAGGGGGGGCATCTGACACACACGGGGGGAGGGCATCTGACACACACGGGGGAGGGCATCTGACACACACACGGGGGAGGGCATCTGACACACACACGGGGGGAGGGCATCTGACACACACACGGGGAGGGCATCTGACACACACGGGGAGGGCATCTGACACACACACGGGGGAGGGCATCTGACACACACACGGGGAGGGCATCTGACACACACACGGGGGGAGGGCATCTGGGGGGAGGGCATCTGACACACACAGGGGAGGGCATCTGACACACACACGGGGGGAGGGCATCTGACACACACAGGGGGAGGGCATCTGACACACACACGGGGGGAGGGCATCTGACACACACACGGGGGGAGGGCATCTGACACACACACAGGGGAGGGCATCTGACACACACACGGGGGAGGGCATCTGACACACACACGGGGGGAGGGCATCTGACACACACAGGGGGGAGGGCATCTGACACACACACGGGGGGAGGGCATCTGACACACACACGGGGGAGGGCATCTGACACACACAGGGGGGAGGGCATCTGACACACACGGGGGGAGGGCATCTGACACACACACAGGGAGGGCATCTGACACACACAGGGGGGAGAGGGCATCTGACACACACGGGGGGAGGGCATCTGACACACACGGGGGAGGGCATCTGACACACACATGGGGGGGAGGGCATCTGACACACACACGGGGGAGGGCATCTGACACACACACGGGGGGAGGGCATCTGACACACACAGGGGGAGGGCATCTGACACACACACAGGGGGGAGGGCATCTGACACACACACGGGGGAGGGCATCTGACACACACACAGGGGAGGGCATCTGACACACACACGGGGGAGGGCATCTGACACACACACGGGGGGAGGCATCTGACACACACACGGGGGGAGGGCATCTGACACACACAGGGGGGAGGGCATCTGACACACACGGGGGAGGGCATCTGACACACACACGGGGGGAGGGCATCTGACACACACACGGGGGGAGGGCATCTGACACACACAGGGAGGGCATCTGACACACACAGGGAGGGCATCTGACACACACAGGGGGAGGGCATCTGACACACACAGGGAGGGCATCTGACACACACACGGGGGGAGGGCATCTGACACACACACAGGGGGAGGGCATCTGACACACACACGGGGGGAGGCATCTGACACACACACAGGGAGGGCATCTGACACACACACGGGGGAGGGCATCTGACACACACAGGGGAGGGCATCTGACACACACACGGGGAGGGCATCTGACACACACACGGGGGAGGGCATCTGACACACACACGGGGGGAGGGCATCTGACACACACACGGGGGGAGGGCATCTGACACATCCTGAGCAGTTTTTGGAACTTTTTGCGTTTTGAGCTCAGTTTTTAACATCACATCATGACAATTTTCCCACAAAAGCGCAATGCATTTTGGGAATTGTGAACTGCCCGTGTTCTTCAGGGCATCAGAGGTTCAGGGTCTTTCACAAAGGTCGGATTTTGTAGGATTATTTTCTATTTTCACAACATAAACTTTTTAAAGTGTTTAAATTCTCAAAGCTCCAAAAAGTGATCTTTGTCAGATTTATACGGGATGTACACATATTTTTGTGACCTACGACTGCCGATTGAGAGCTGGTCGTGAGGTATTACTCCATGTTACTCCATGTTACTCCATGTTACTCCATGTTACTACCATGTTACTACATGTTACTACGCCAAAAATCAGATCCCAAAAAGAGTTGCACGAGTGAAAAATCTGCTCAAAAAGGGCCAAAAATCGCACCGTGTAAACTTTTGTCCCATGAGCCGCTGAGCACAGACCCCTGAAAACAACACGACACATCTTGGATTCATCTTCAGATCTTATTACAGTTCTGTGGAAATGAGCCGTTTGTTTTTTCCTGTTTCCATGGAGACCGTGTAAGAGGCAAGATAAGAATTTTGCCATGGACCTTTGAGATGCTTCAGGCTTTTTACACCGCACGTGATAAAAGACCTTCCAGAGGAAACACTTTGAGGGAACACTGCCCGAAACACCACCAGAGCGGAGTGAGACTGAGGCCTTTTCTGTTGTGTTCACCCGGCGCCCCCTGGAGGCCGCTGTGACGCTGCAGGACACAGAGGACCTGACCCTCCCTGAGCAGTCCTCCTGACCAACTGAGACCTTTGACTCAGACTCAAAGGGACTGAGACGCACAGGGGAAATGTTACTGCAGCAAAACTTGAATTTTACCTCAAGATGAATAAAGTGTCTCGCTGTTCCTCTCTCTCACTCACTGGGAGGGCATCTGACTCTCTGTGTCCTGTGTCTCTCAGGTGTGCGGTGCGGTGCGTTCAGTGCGGACGCCGGGGTCCAGGCCCACGTGAAGCTGCATCACGCCCACACAAACGTGCTCGGTCTGGGAGACTCGTCCACCTGGAAAGTCCCGAGTCTGAGCCGAGGCCTGTACCTGTTCATCGCTCCGCTCGCCGTCCCCGTCATCACCCCGCTGGTCGCTCTCGGTACTGCGCCCACAACGGAGCAGGAGGAGTTGTAGTAGTAGTAGTAGTAGTAGTAGTAGTAGTAGTAGTAGTAGTAGTAGTAGTAGTAGTAGTAGTAGTAGTACTTTTACACATATATTCTGTCTGTTCCAGCCCAGTTGAAGCACCAGTCCGTGCTCTCGTCTCTCCGGACCCTCCTGATGGTTTCTCTGGGGCTCTGGTCTCACTTCTGGATCCTGGTCCGGGTCTGTGGGTTCTGCTCGGTTCCGTCTGCGCTCGGCTGCATGTTCTTCACCAGGAACCTGTTCTCTCTCTGCCGTACATCCACGTCAACATCTTCCAGGTAACAACACAAACCTTTAGACCACAGACTGTAAAGACGTGACGTCACTGCAGAGTTCAGCTCCAGGCAAATGAAGCTCATCGAGGCGGCAGATATATAATATATATGTTGATATTAAGAATGGGAATTTATTTATGGACAAAATAATGAAATAAAAACACCAGGATCATGTAGAACGGGTTAATACATTAACATTTTCAGACCAAAATGATGAGGTTCACAGCAGCAGGTACAGAGAGATTTTACGTTTCAGCATTTCAATGAAAAGTCATTTGGAGCCAAAGTCGATGGAGCCGTGCTCACTTCCTGTTTGGAACGCGGCGGCTAGTGTGTTAGCTATGTCCGTTCAGAGTTTGTGGTTACCCTGAACGCGCTGACTCACATCAGGCACAGTTACCGCCGCAGTCTAGGGTGTCCAGACTATGGCCCAGGGGCCAAATGTGGTCCTCAGGTTCTCTGCTCAATTGGCCTAAATGACCAAAAGTATTTTTACAGCAAATTTTCCAAATCCTGCTATTATAACTGTGATTCAGACGAAACATAAATGTCCCATAAAACACCGTCTTTTTAAAGGTGATTCTCTGAGTGATTCACTTAAATATTCTGTGTCTGTGTCACTACGCTCTTTAAATGTTATTTAAGTATATTTAAATATGTTTAATTATGTTTAAATATATTTAATTATGTGTCCCTCAGAGACAGAGTTTACACCTCCAGGCTCTAAAGTCTTTTTCTACACAGTGACACAGAATCAAAGTGGCACAGTTTAACATTCCTCAGACACTGGACCCGGAGGTCCCATGGTCCAGACTCTACAGGTCACATGACTGTAATCCACAGATTTAAACCAGACCTGGAGCAGACCTGGAGCAGACCTGGAGCAGACCTGACTCTGATCTAATGCCACAGTCTGGTCAGGAGCTCGTCACATGATCCACAGATTAAATCTCAAATATGAAATAAAAGGGAAAAGCAGAAACTTTGGCCAAAAATATTTTAATTGTTAATCCCCATGGCAGCAGGTCTCATTTCTCATCAGTGTGAAGTTCAGGCTCAGACTGACTCACACTTCACACTAAAACACCAGGTACAACAGAGCGGATCCACACTGAAGAAACATCTCACCTGTACTGTCCCTCCTCCTCCTCTCTCCTCTCTCCTCTCCTCCTCTCTCTCCTCTCCTCCTCTCCTCCTCTCCTCCTCTCTCCTCCTCCTCATCCTCCTCTCTCCTCTCCTCTCTCCTCTCCTCCTCCTCCTCCTCTCCTCCTCTCCTCCTCTCCTCCTCTCCTCCTCTCCTCTCCTCCTCCTCCTCTCCTCCTCCTCCTCTCCTCCTCCTCCTCCTCTCTCTCTCCTCTCTCCTCCTCCTCCTCTCTCCTCCTCTCCTCTCTCCTCCTCCTCCTCCTCCTCCTCTCCTCTCTCCTCCTCCTCTCTCCTCCTCCTCTCTCTCCTCTCTCCTCTCTCTCTCCTCTCTCCTCCTCTCTCCTCCTCTCTCCTCTCCTCCTCCTCCTCTCCTCCTCCTCTCTCCTCCTCTCCTCCTCTCTCCTCCTCCATCCTCCTCCTCCTCCTCTCCTCCTCCTCTCCTCCTCTCTTCCTCTCCTCTCCTGTAGCACATCGGTCTGTCCATGTTCTCCCCGGACCAGAGACCAAAGAGGATTTTCCAGATGAGTCACGGTGTCCTGAACCTGCCCAGAAACCTGCTCCTGGACTGGACCTTCGGACACTCCCTGATCAGCTGCCACGTGGAGCATCACCTGTTCCCCACGCTGTCCGACAACATGTGTCTGAAGGTCAGGACTAACCCGGGACTAAACCAGGACTAAACCAGGACTAAACCAGGACTAAAGTCCGACAACATGTGTCTGAAGGTCAGGACTAACCCGGGACTAAACCAGGACTAAACCAGGACTAAAGTCCGACAACATGTGTCTGAAGGTCAGGACTAACCCGGGACTAACCCGGGACTAAACCAGGACTAAACCAGGACTAAACCAGGACTAAAGTCCGACAACATGTGTCTGAAGGTCAGGACTAACCCGGGACTAAACCAGGACTAAACCAGGACTAAAGTCCGACAACATGTGTCTGAAGGTCAGGACTAACCCGGGACTAAACCAGGACTAAACCAGGACTAAAGTCCGACAACATGTGTCTGAAGGTCAGGACTAACCCGGGACTAAACCAGGACTAAACCAGGACTAAACCAGGACTAAAGTCCGACAACATGTGTCTGAAGGTCAGGACTAACCCGGGACTAAACCAGGACTAAACCAGGACTAAACCAGGACTAAAGTCCGACAACATGTGTCTGAAGGTCAGGACTAACCCGGGACTAAACCAGGACTAAACCAGGACTAAAGTCCGACAACATGTGTCTGAAGGTCAGGATTAAACCAGGACTAAACCAGGACTAAAGTCCGACAACATGTGTCTGAAGGTCAGGACTAACCCGGGACTAAACCAGGACTAAACCAGGACTAAACCAGGACTAAAGTCCGACAACATGTGTCTGAAGGTCAGGATTAAACCAGGACTAACCCGGGACTAAACCAGGACTAAACGAGCACTAGACCAGGACTAAAGTCCGACAACGTGTCTGAAGGTCAGGACTAGACCAGGACTAAACCAAGACTAAACCAAGACTAAAGTCCGACAACATGTGTCTGAAGGTCAGGACTAGACCAGGACTAGACTAGGACTAGACCAGGACTAAACCAGGGCTAAAGTCCTACAACATGTGTCTGAACGTGAGGACTAAACCAGGACTAAACCAGGACTAAACCGGGTCTAAACTGGGTCTAAACCTGGACTAGACCAGGACTAGACCAGGTCTAAACCAGGTCTGACTCGTCTCGTTCCAGGTGAAGCCGGTCGTCAGTCAGTTCTTGAAGTCCAAGTCGTTGCCGTACCAACAGGACTCGTACTTGTCCCGCCTCCGACTGTTTTTCCACCAATACCACGAGCTCATGGTGCTGGCCCCGCCCATCACCGAGCTCGTGGGCATCCAATGAGAACGCGGGGTTTGATCAGCCGTCCAATCAGAGCACAGGACCTGGGGCACACCTGTCCAGAGGAGACGCGGGGTCACAGGTGAACGAGGAGCGAGGAAACACGACGCAGGATTCTCTTTGGGATTATTTTTGGAATTAAAGCCAAAACAGAAGTTTATACCAAATGTTTATGATTCAGATTTCTGTAAATACTGGAACTATTCACATGAAACTTATAATATACTTAAAGTTAAAGGTCAAATATTAAACATAAGTGACTCTTGTGAGATTTAAGTCGTGTTCTAAAGTTGTTTCCTCTTCAAAAACATAAACAGACCCGGACTTGTGTTTTGTTTCTTCATGTTTGAGTAAATCTTTATTATGAGTCTGTCTACATCTGCGAAGCTCAAAACGCTCTGTTCCACCTTGTGATGTCATGAATAGGGTGACTAGACAACTCTGTTTCCCCGGGACAGTCCCAGGTGTCCCTATTTTTGACCAATTTGATCTAATTCAGGACTAAACTAAGACTAAACCAGGACTAAACTAGGACTAGACCAGGACTAAAATTGGACTAGACTGGGACTAAACCAGGACTAGACCGGGAATAAATAGGGACTAAACTAAGACTAAACCAGGACTAAACCGGGGCTAAACCAGTTTTAAAACTGGACTAGACCGGGACTAGACTGGGACTAAAGCAGGACTAAAACTGGGACTAAACTAAGACTAAACCAGGACTAGACCCGGACTAAATTGGGACTAAAGCAGGTCTAAACCAGGACTGAACTAGGACTAAATCAAGACTAAACCAGGATTAAACTAAGACTAAACCGGGACTAAACCAAGACTAAACCAGAACTAAACCGGGACTAAACTAAGACTAAACCAAGACTAAACCAGGACTAAACTAAGACTAAACCGGGACTAAACTAAGACTAAACCAGGACTAAACCAGAACTAAACCAGACTAAACCAAGACTAAACCAGGACTAGACTCGGACTAAACTGGGACTAAAGCAGGTCTAAACCAGGACTAAACTAGGACTAAATCAAGACTAAACCAGGATTAAACTAAGACTAAACCGGGACTAAACCAGGACTAAACTAAGATTAAACCAGAACTAAACCAGGACTAAACTAAGACTAAACCAGGACTAAACTAAGACTAAACCAAGACTAAACCAGGACTAGACTCGGACTAAACTGGGACTAAAGCAGGTCTAAACCAGGACTAAACTAGGACTAAATCAAGACTAAACCAGGATTAAACTAAGACTAAACTGGGACTAAACCAGGACTAAACTAAGATTAAACCAGAACAAAACCAGGACTAAACTAAGACTAAACCGGGACTAAACTAAGACTAAACCAGAACTAAACCAGGACTAAATCAAGACTAAACCAGAACTAAACCAGAACTAAACCAGGACTAAACTAAGACTAAACCAGGACTAAACTAAGACTAAATCAAGTCTAAACCAGGACTAAACCAGAACTAACTCCAACTCCAGGTCTGTTTGTGTTTGTGACGAGGAAAAAACATTAGAACAGAAATCAGAGAAAAGTGTCACATGAGCCTTTAAACTAAATATTTCCCTTTATTTACAATGGAAAAGTTTGCACTGAAAAGTTACAGATAAACTTTAACCTGTTTATCGACAAACACAATAATGAACAACACAACAGAACGGACATTTTATCTTATTATTGTTGGAATCCTGCTGGACTTTTATTGTGAAATCCTTTTGCAAACATGTTAAATTTAATGTTTTATTTAGTTTCATATAAACCATCTGTTTTATTTCACTGATCATGTGTGTTTTTAATGAGTTAGTTTGATGCTAAAATTTCCCTCAAGAGCCACATGCTAACTGTAAGCCCTGCTCTGTCTGAGGCATGTTAGAGTTTAATCTGAGCTTTATTTTTACACAATCTGACCAGAAAGAACTCATGTATCTGAGCTATTTATCTGATGTGTGCTGTTAAAAACAAATCCCTTTCAAATAACATTTAGCATTAGCGGCATTAGTCGTTGCAGTAGAACAGGAGTCTCAAACTCATTTTGTTCCGGGCGTCGTGTCCAACCGACTTTGATCCCAAAGTGTCCGGATCAGAAAACTCATGTCATATAAACCCCAAAATAACAATAAGTTCAAATATTTGTGCAGAGAAACACAAATCTATTACATAAATCTTTTTTAATTGATGAACTCTTTCTTTTACAAAATATTATAATATTATGAACAACCTGAAACTTTAAGAAAAATTCAATTTCAACACAAAGTTTGAACATGAACTTGTCTGTAAACAGGAAAAGTAAATTTTTGTTGTAAAATCCTGCACTCGGCTCCACTTTTCTCATGTTGGACATTTTTCTGATGAGGGTGTCACGGTCAACAGTCAAAACGATCGTCCTTTAAGAGCGTTTGGAAAGAGACAAGTCTTCATTTGTGCTGCTCTGGTGGGAGGGGCCACGTACAGAGACGCTGGAGACGCTGCTGTGATAAACACTACAGAAAATTAACGAGATTTTAATAGAAAATATCATTAAAATATTTTAGTAGAAAATCAGCTGGGGGCCAGATTAAAGATCTTGGAGGGCCACATCTGGCCCCCAGGCCGTATGTTTGACACTTGTGCAGTAGCATTAGCGTTAGCATTTGTATTAGCATTAGCTGACAGTTTTTTTGGTTAGTCTCTCACATTGTTAAAAATTTAAGAGATTTGTCCCAGTTTTATACAAGAAATGTCTCAGGTGTCTCTATTTTTGACCAATTTGATCCTGACAACAGTAAAGAGAAACATAAACATTTGTTTATGAAAAATAAAGAAAAGCTGCTTAAAAACAAAGAAAATGTGACTATACTGACTCATGTTTGTCATGAATGGGCCGAATACAAAACTGTTTTCTTTGATGTCGTGCTCGTTTCACAATTTTATTTTTTTACCAACCTCCACAAACCGAGAGTGTCCCAGTTTTTTTATTTTGAAAATCTACTTCCTCTGCCCTGGGACACAGTTCTGACGCAAAGAGGAACAGAAATAAGAACAGTGTGATGACAGAAAGCAGCCAGCAGAGGGCAGCCACAACTCTAACAATACTACTACTACTACTACTACTACTACTACTACTACTACTGCTAGTACTACTACTACTACTACTACTGCTAGTACTACTACTACTACTACTGCTAGTACTACTACTACTACTACTACTGCTAGTACTACTACTACTACTACTACTGCTACTACTACTACTACTACTACTACTACTGCTACTACTGCTACTACTACTACTACTGCTACTACTACTAGCTACTACTACTACTACTACTACTACTACTACTACTACTACTACTACTACTACTACTAGTTACTACTACTACTACTACTACTACTACTACTACTACTGCTACTACTACGCTACTACTACTACTACTGCTACTACTACTACTACTACTACTACTACTACTACTACTACTGCTACTACTACTACTACTACTACTACTGCTACTACTACTACTACTACTACTACTACTACTACTACTAGCTACTACTACTACTACTACTACTGCTACTACTACTACTACTACTACTACTGCTACTACTACTACTACTACTACTACTACTGCTACTACTACTACTACTACTACTACTACTACTACTACTACTGCTGCTGCTACTAATACTGTTACTGCTACTACTACTACTACCACTATTACCATTACTACTACAATAACTACTACAACTGCTACTGTTACTACTACTACTACTACTACTACAATAACTACTACTACTATTGATACTGCTACTACTAATGCTACTATTACCACTACTATTTCTGCTACTTCTGCTACTACTACTAGTACCAGCACTACAACAACTGCAACTACTATTACTCTACTACTAGTATTACTACTACTAATACTTCGATACTTCCTCAATAATTTCTGCTCGGTCATGATTCTTTTTTTAAATTTGTTCAAACAAAAGTGAAAGGATCAAGTTTAAATGTTTTGATTCGTCATCAATCATAATCTGGTTTGTTTTGAGCGTTACCATGGAAACAAACCTGCATGTAATCTCTTAATCCATCTGTGGTGAAAGACTGGATCAAGATCTGAGTGAAAACCAGGTCTGGACCGAGGACTAGACCGAGACTAGACCGAGACTAGACCAGGACTAGACCGAGACTAGACCAGGACTAGACCGACTAGACCGAGACTAGACCGGGACTAGACACATGCCACAAAGACTGATTTTTTTTCTGTTCTATTCTAGATCTAAACCAGATTTAACGAACAATAAGTCTAAGTCAGGACTAAGTCAGGACTTTGTCGTGATCCAAAAACAGGTTCAGACCAAAACTAAACCAGGATTAAATCATAAAACACAAAAATCCTTTCAAGTGTGTCATCCATGAAACTAAGATTATTCTAGATCTAAACCAGGACTAACCCAGGTATGAGCTCAGGTATGTGCAGGTGAGTGACACAGGGGAGGCCACGCCCACTTCTGCTCCAGGCCACGCCCTCTTCTGAGAGGAGGAGAGAGGAAAGGAGGAGAGGAGAGGAGAGGAGAGAGAAGGAGAGGAGGAGAGAGAGAAAAGGAGGAGAGCAGAGAGGAGAGAGAGGAGAGGAGGAGAGGAGACGAAAGGAGAGAAGAGAGAGGAGGAGAGAAGACAAGGAGAGAGAGAGCAGAGGAGAGAGGAGAGGAAAGGAGGAGAGAGAAAAGGAGGGAAGGAGAGAGGAAGAGAGAGGAGGAGAGAGTAGAGGACAGAGGAGAGGAGGAGAGAAGAAGAGACAGGAGACGAGGAGAGAGTAGAGGAGAGGAGGAGAGAGGAAAGGAGGAGAGAGGAGGACAGAGGAGAGGAGGAGAGAGAGAAAAGGAGGAGAGAGAGAGGAGAAAGGAGGAGAGGAGGAGAGAGGAAAGGAGGAGAGAGGAGGAGAGAGAGGAGAGAGAGAGAAAGGAGGAGAGGAGAGGAGAGGAGAGAGGAGAAAGGAGAGGAGAGAGAGAGAAAAGGAGGAGAGGAGAGAGGAAGAGAGGAGGAGAGAGGAGAGGAGAAGAGAGAGGAAAGGAGGAGAGGAGGGGAGAGAAGGAGTGAGAGAGAGGAAGAGAGGAGAGGAGGAGAGAAGAGAGAGAGGAGAGAGAGAGAGGAGAGAGAGAGAGGAGAGGAGAAGAGAGGAGGAAAGGAGGAGAGGAGGGGAGAGAAGGAGTGGAGGCCACGCCCTTTCTGTTAAAGACCACGCCCCTTCTGTTAAAGACCACGCCCCTTCAGCTCTGGAGAAGTGACTTTTTCATGTAAATGAACGAAGAGAATGTTGTTCTTCTGCTCTCAGCTCCTCCCACAGACTCACAGGGAGGAACCAGGAACTGCCTCAGCACAAAACTCACACACACAGACCAGACAGAGACCAGAGAGAGACCAGAGCCAGACCAGAGCCAGACCAGAGCCAGACCAGAGCCAGAGGAGGGACCAAAACCAGAACTGAAACAGAACTAAACCAGGTCTGAACAAGATCTACAGCAGGATTATACCAGGTCCAAAAGAGGAACTACTTCAGCACAAAACTTTCAGAGAGACACCAGAGGAGCACATGAGGAGCAGAGCCAGAGGAGGGACTTAAGACTAAACCAGGTCTACAAAAGGATTAAACCAGGACTAAACTAAACCAAGTCTAAGCCAGGTTTACAACAGGACTAAACCAGGGCTAAAAGAGGAACTGCTTCAGCACAAAAACTGTCAAACATCAGAGGAGCACAAGAGGAGCTGAGCCAGAGGAGGGACTGAGCCAGAAGTGAAACAGGTCTAAAAGAGAACTAAACCAGGACTAACCCAGCGCCAGGACTAAACCAGAACTAAACCAGGTGTAAAAGAGAAACTGCCACAAGACAAACCTGTCAGTGAGAGATCAGGACAGCACAAGAGGAACAAGAGCCAGAGGAGGGACTAAACCAGGTCTGAACCAGGTCTAAACCAGGTCTGATCCAGGTCTGAACCAGGTCTAAAACAGAACTAAACCAGGACTAACCCAGAACCAGTTCACCGAAGCCTCACATTATAAAAGGTAAGACACATTTTTATCATGATTTTAGAGTTTTGTGAAGGATTCGTTTGAGTTTAAAGGACTCATTTTAAAGCTGCACTGTGTAACTTTTCTGGAGAAGAGTCTGTCACCTGTTTGTTTCCATGGAGATGTTACCGCTTTGCCTAGAATGTTCCAGGGTAGGGCATTAAACATATCAAACAGGTCAGTAAACTCTTACGTGAACACATGCTGGATACTTGACAGTAAGTTAAAGCCATACTGTGGAAATTTCCAGGTAAAGATAAACAATATCTCCATGGAGACAAGCAGGTGGAGTGCCCTCAAACAGAAACGTTACACAGAGCAGCTTTAACAGTCCAGTTCTGGTTTGTCTTGAGTTGTACAGAGTGACGTTTGAATAGATTTGAATAGATTAAAAAAAAAAAAAAACTCCTGTGTTCTAACGCTGTTTCCTCATCTTAGACTTGCCTGAAGAGGTTTTAAATGTCATCTGTGCATGTTTGAGTAATTTAGTGATCTCTGCTGGGCCCTACTTTGCATTTTACAGAATAAAATGAAACAAATCTAAATATATTCTGTGTTCTAGTTAATCTAAAGCCCATCTCTGAAGTGATTTGAATTCCAGACCTGGTTTAGATGCATTTATTTTTGTATTTATTTGGGCTCATTTGGGCTCAGGTCAAAGGTCAGAGGTCAAAGCAGGGTTGTAGTCTAGAGCATTATTACCCAAAGACTGGGTCGCAAGAGATTTTTTTGTGTTTGGCTTGTCAGGGTCTGCACGTAGGTCCACTTTGCCTAACAAGTTCTCTGCCTAAAACAGTGATTACTGTTTTTCCTTGTTTAAAACTTGAATACCGTATTTTTCGGACTATAAGGCACACTTAAAATCCCTTAATTTTCTCAAAAATTGACAGTGAGCACTTTATACTGGTTGTGTGAAACCGATTTTTATTTCCACTGAGTCGAGTCCGACAGAAGCTGAACCACATCCCCATGTTTTTTTTTTTATTGCTTATAGTTTATGTCAATGAGCCATGTGGTTTTAAGTTTTGTTTCTGTAAAACGTAAACAAATGTGCGCAAAGCTGCATTAATTATTCAGTCTGTTTTTTAGTCGTCTCGTACAGAATAAAAAAGTCTCAAGTCTCATGTGTCTTCCGTTTGTTTCACTTGATGCGCCTTATAGTCCAAAAAATACGGTAATACAAATTGTTCAGAGACACGATCACTCAGTCAACAATAAAATATCCTGCTTAATGTTCAGTAATGGACACAAATGTATGAGTAATGTCTATTGACTTGGGTTGCAAAGATTTGTGACTTTTAAAATATGGATCCCCAGAAAAAAATTTGGGGAAACACTGTTGTTCTGTGTTTTTTTAACGGCGACGTCTGTGCACTTGTTTCTTTTATGAAGTCGTTTTACATCAGTATTGTGATTTAAAATCACAGTCACAATTAGCTCCTTAACGCCGACTGTCGCAAATATGTACGACAAACTGTTTAGATGAAGATATAAAGTGGAGAGAGCGGCTGCTTTCCGTCAGTGCCGGTTCGTGCACGTGCAGGAAGTTCCTATGAACCTTTGGCAAGCACTTGGTTCTAGTTGTCGCAAATTTGCAACACACCCAAATTTCTATTTATTAATTTTTTTGCTATAATCAAATTAATAATCTTGACTTAATTTACCTTCTACTTAAAGGCAAAAACACATATAAAACTTTTTGAATGTACATCTATGTAAATTCAGGTGTTAAGGGGTTAAAATATGGCAAAGGAAAAATTAAGTTTATCAATTGGACAAAAGTTTATTTTGGTTGAAAATGTTTTTCAGCTCATCCAAACTGCTTCTTCAGTTCTCATCAGACACTGTTGGACACTGCCTTATATCTACCTGAAGGAAGAGCTAACTACTCTGAAACTCCTCTGAAACTAACGCACACTTGTTTACAGTTTCTGTTTGTAGCTCAGCCTGTTCATCTGTATCTGAGTGTGGGTCATGTTAGCAGAATCACTCAGACCCATTGTGAGTGTTTTCACACCTCTGGCCCTGACCTGCACCTCCCTGTTGTTCTATTTGTTTTAGGTTTGAGGATGAAGTTGTAAATGGGAGACAGATGGTCTCTGAGCCGTCCATTTCTGTTCAAGGAAGGATTTTTCTTAACTAAAAGAGCCTCTTTGACTCCTTCTTTGACTAAGAGAGCAACACAGGACCTCAGTCTAATGTACATCTCCACCTAAAAGCCACAAACCGCTTCTTTGTGGACAGTGAGGTTCAGATCTGAACCAGGGAAAAGAACTGGTTTGAGAAGGGAGTTAAGGAAGATATTTTTGTTATGAAAGAAAATCCTTCCTTGAACAGAAATGGAAGCCTCAAACATCATCTCCAGAGGTGGGACTTTGAGCCGTGACTTGGACTCGAGTCAGACTTGAGTCACTATTTTTAGAACTTGAGACTTGACTTGATAAAATGGACTAAGACTTGGGACTCGACTTGGACTTGAAGGTCAGTGACTCTTGAGCCCTGTGACTTCAGAAGACTTGATGCGTCCCTAAAAAAATGTTTTTTGAAAATACTTTTCTCTTTACAGTTGATAAATGCAGCGTTTAATTTTACAGGAACAAACTGTCGCTTACACTTCTCTGTTTGTTACTTTGGATGAAACTGAAGTACTGTGATACTCAAATGTACTACAGTAAAATACAGAACAACGCAGTAAAACAGAGGGAACTACACAGAACATGATCCTTCGTGAGAAAATAACTGTTATTTAGCTCGTTTATATCTTAATTCTTTCTGTTCTGATGGTAAAGATTCACACTAAAATCTTGTCAAGACATTTAAAAAGGAAAACGTAGCATTTCTACAACTCTTATATAAATACTCATCAATATACCATGAGTTTTTAAGTACAAATAAACTCAAAAATCATATAAATTGCAAAACCCTAAGCTATATTTGGTGCTTTGGTTTAAAGACTTGAAATGACTTGAAGCGCAAAGCAGATGACTTGGACTTGACTTGGACTTATGGGCCAGTGACTCGAGACTCGACTTGGACCTGCCTGTATTTGACTTGGGACTTGACTCGGACTTGAGGTCAAAAACTTGAGACTTACTTGAGACTTGCAAAACAGCGACTTGGTCCCACCTTTGGATCCATCCTCAAACCTAAAACAAATAGAACGACAGGAGGAGTCAGGTCAGGACCAGAGGTGTGAAAACTCCGTCAGGGGCCTAAATGATTCTGCTGATAAGACCCCACACTCAGGTCAGATGAATAGGCCGAGCTAACTGTATATAGGTCTGATTTAAAGTGTATAATTCAGCCTCGTGAAATCATGCGCCTCTGTTAAATCTTCTTGTTTTTATTTCAGTGATGGCAGATTCAGCGCCTCAAAGTCCAAAGTCTCTAGGGTCAGATGTCCCAAATCCTGGCCCAAGCCCTGGCCCAAGTCCAGGTCCTAGTCCTGGTCCAAGTCCTGGTCCTAGTCCCGGCTGCAGTCCGACTAAAGTCCTGGACAAACCTAAACTCAACGGCACCAGTGAAGTCCAAGCGGAGGACCTGACTAACGACCAGAGGGAGTCTGAGGCTGACGAGGAGCCAGAGGTGAGGCTCTAACGCAGACTCTAAATGAAAAACCCGTTAGCCACAGTGTTTCAAACAGGAAGCAAGCACGGGCTGGCTCCAGTTCACTTTCTTTTGAAAAACCGTGTCCCCTCTTTCTGTAACTTCTGCTGTTAGACTCGCTATTCTGACCTTAAAACATTCGTATTAATTGGCTCTACATGATCCTGGGGTTTTTATTTCACTGTTTTTGTCCGTGAAGAAAGGGTTACACGCTGCTAAACATTGACACGCATCCCAAATTTCGGACTTCCGGTCATCGCACAATGCACACTGGGAAGGATCCCCCAAAAAAGTGAACATCAAAGCGAAATCCCGATCTCTCGCTCAACCTCGGTTACAAATTTAAAAAGTCAACGCCAAAGTGAAAGGCTCCAGCTGTTCACCAAGAAACACCTTCCACTGCAAAGAGACCAAGACGTGATGTTGCTGTAAAACCACAAGAACAAGAAAGTGCAGCTCAGTCTGTTTGTCTTCTGCTCCTCTACATTAACAAACCGGATTTTGTTTTGTCGTCGCTCCACATACAAAATGTTCTCTGTAAACTCGGGATGATTTCTTAGTCAGTCAGATGTTTCCTTTTTGGTTCTTCCTGTGGATCAATCCTGCCCATCACCTTCACCTTTCACTATTTTTCAATTCCGTTGGGAAGAGAAACAGTTTGAACGGAGGTTTGAGTCACACACATCTGATTCACTTTTGCATTTATGGAGTTCACAAACACATTTCTGGAGTTGTTTTCCGCCGTTTGGATCCAACAACCACAACAATTACGATGTCCGAATCCCAAAACTAAAATATGACAATATCAGAACCAGAAACAAAAGTGAAATGGTTCAAAAGACTTGAAAAGATCGACTTCAACAATAGACACATCCCACTGGGAAAACAAACATGGAGGTTTGAGTCTCACTTTTTCTGAGGATTCTTCCCAGTGTGAATTGCACGATGATCAGAAGAAATTTGGGGTGCATGTATTGTCGTAGTAGCGGCATAAACATTACTTTTCTAGCGTCCAACTACTTAGATTTTTTTTTTAATTGTCAGAGTAGCGGCACTTTATTTTTATTTTGTCACTTTTCCGACATGAATAATATTAACGTGACATCCTTTTATTATACTTGATCAGAGAAAACTTCGGGCACAGACGATATCAGACACTCACAGCCCAAAACACAAATATGACGCGTCGGAACAGCGATACTAAAAAGTGTCGTAATACCGTCGCGTGTAAATAGAGACATCTCGTAATGAAGGTACGTCGGAATAGGCAACAGATGAATCCCAAAGAAAGATCTGAATGTTAATAACAGATCAATCAGGCGGCGTTGTCGTTCCCGATGTCGCAATCACTAACGTAAACAACAGGTTTGATTGACAGGTCTGTTAAGCGTCCACTTCCTGCTAAACCAGTGGTGCGGGGAAGAACGTCACCTAGAACAGTCTCGCTCCAGATTGGCTCTTTGATATGCTAAATAGTTTTTTTTTTTTTTTTTTTTTTGAGCAAGTTACAACAAAACAACAAAACGTGTTCATGTTTGGGAGCTGGTGCTCAAAGGAGTTTAAATTTAAAAAACTTTTGGCGTCCTTTCCCAATTGTTTTACGTAATCATGTGGTTGACGCTTTTTTTTTACACCTTTTGAGTGATTACCTGTCGTATACATTGCATACATCTACACACGTATACATACACATGTACACATGTATACATACACATGTACACATGTGTACACATACACACATACATGTAAATACATACACATCTAAAAAATCCAGTACATATATTCTCCATACATATATACATACACACACATATATTTTTGCTTATGGTCGTACCAATAATAGAGCTGAAGACGGCACTAAAATGTATTGTTTATGGATGTACAAAATAAACAACATATAGAACGAAAAATGTAAGGATTTTATTTATTTTTTTTAATTTATGGTCATACAAACGAATAATAATGTTGATGAAGGCTCAAAAGTTTATTGTTTATGATCATATCAAAATAAAAGGTAATTAGAATGAAAAATGTAAGTATTTTTGTTTTCGTTCGTTTTGTTCAAACTAATAATAATGATGATAACAAAGACACTAAAGTTTATCGCTTATGATTGTACAAAACAAACCACATATAGAATGAAAAATGTAAGGATTTTTTTTTTTTTTATTTATGGTCATACAAACGAATAATAATGTTGATGAAGGCTCAAAAGTTTATCGTTTATGATCGTACAACGTAAACAGCATATAGAATGAACAAAGTAAGGATTTTTTTTTTCATTTATGATCATAGAAAATAAACCACTAAATTAAAAATATAAGGATTTTTTTTTTTTTTTACGTTTATGGTCGTATAAACTAATAATAATGTTAACGAAGGCACAAAAGTTTATCATTTATGATCGTACAAAATTAGAATATAAAAAATAAATAAATCAATATGTGCCCTGATTGCAGATTACACCCTATAAATGCTAATCTCGATGAGCTTCATTTGACTGGAGGGTGATGTCAGACTTCCTCAGAACTCGTCTTTATACATAATCATAGTCTGTATTTGAATCCGCTCTGGTCTGTGGTCTTTCTTCAGGACGTCTCGGACAGCGTTCTGTGCGACTCGTGCATCGACACGCCTCGTCCGGCCGTGAAGTCCTGCCTCACCTGCCTGGTCTCCTACTGCGAGGCCCACCTCAGACCTCACCTGGAGAACCCCAAGTTCTCGCAGCACAAGCTCCTGGAGCCTCTGCGCGACATCGAGAGGAAGACCTGCGAGATCCACCACCAGGGCCTCCTCTGGTTCTGCGTGCCCGACCAGGAGTGCGTCTGCGAGGGCTGCGTGAGCGACGAGCACCGCGGACCACGAGCTCCGCACCGTGGAGGAGGCCCGCAGGGACATCGAGGTACTGGACTGGGACTAGACCGGGACTAGACCGGGACTAAACCAGGACTAAAACAGGACTAAAGCAGGACTAAAACAGGCCCGCAGGGACATCGAGGTACTGGACTGGGACTAGACCGGGACTAGACCGGGACTAAACCAGGACTAAACCAGGACTAAAGCAGCACTAAAGCAGGACTAAAACAGGCCCGCAGGGACATCGAGGTACTGGACTGAGACTAGACCGGGACTAGACCGGGACTAAACCAGGACTAAAGCAGGACTAAAACAGGCCCGCAGGGACATCGAGGTACTGGACTGAGACTAGACCGGGACTAAACCAGGACTAAACCAGGACTAAAGCAGGACTAAAACAGGCCCGCAGGGACATCGAGGTACTGAACCGGGTACTAGACCGGGACTAAACCAGGACTAAAACAGGCCCGCAGGGACATCGAGGTACTGGACCGAGACTAGACCGGGACTAGACCGGGACTAAACCAGGACTAAAGCAGGACTAAAACAGGCCCGCAGGGACATCGAGGTACTGGACCGAGACTAGACCGGGACTAAAGCAGGACTAAAGCAGGACTAAAACAGGCCCGCAGGGACATCGAGGTACTGGACCGAGACTAGACCGGGACTAGACCGGGACTAAACCAGGACTAAACCAGGACTAAAGGACTAAAGCAGGACTAAAACAGGCCCGCAGGGACATCGAGGTACTGGACCGGGACTAGACCGGGACTAGACCGGGACTAGACCGGGACTAAACCGGGACTAAAGCAGGACTAAAACAGGCCCGCAGGGACATCGAGGTACTGGACTGAGACTAGACCGGGACTAGACCGGGACTAAACCAGGACTAAACCAGGACTAAACCAGGACTAAACCAGGACTAAAGCAGGACTAGGCCCGCAGGGACATCGAGGTACTGAACCGGGTCTAGACCGGGACTAAACCAGGACTAAACCAGGACTAAAGCAGGACTAAAACAGGCCCACAGGGACATCGAGGTACTGGACCAGGACTAGACCGAGACTAAAACAGGACTAGACCGGGACTAGACCGGGACTAAAGCAGGACTAAACCAGGACTAAAGAGGGACTAAACTAGCACTAAAGCTGGCCAGGAGGGACATTGAGAGACTAAACCGGGACTAGACTGGGACTAAACCAGGACTAGACCAGGACTAGACCAGGTCTAAAGCAGGCCAGGAGGGACATCGAGGTGAGGGACAGGGACTAAACCAGGACTAAACCAGGTTTAAAGAGGGTCTAAAGTAGGACTAAAAGGGACTAAAGAAGGACTAAACCTAGACTAAACCAGGTCTAAAGAGGGACATAGAGGTGAGATACAGGGACTAAACCAGGACTAAACAAGGACTAAAGAGGGACTAAAGCAGGACTGTTAGGTTTATCTAAACATTGTAAACAAGAAGAAAGACAAGAGATTAATTCAGTTTTACTCATGAGGAGAACGGGCAGTGGGCATCAAAACCAACAGTCTCCACACGTTCTGATGCCTCAAGGCTGTTCTCCTCTTTTTATTTCATTAGGAGGCCCTAGTTACAGAATGATAATTCTCAAGGGGAAGGGGAAACAGCCAAGACATAATAAGAAACTGATGCAGCTATGCATAGTACAAACACATAAAACATGATTAACAATCAGGAGGTGCCTTAGGTCAGACACCATCATAACTCTTCATGTGTGACAGTGGGAGTTGGCTTCATGTGAGGAATCATCTGGAGGTTCACTAGAGCGACAGGACACTGCACACAGTTGTCAAACACACAGAGGTTATTCAACAAGTGACAAGTGATTGGTACATTATAAATCAAAGAATTGTAGTACATAAATGGTTAACTCATAGGCCTAGAATATCACACAAGTATTTAGCAAATATGGGATAATAAAATTATTCTGACATTTCCCTCCTGTTTATCATATATTTGCTAAAGAAGAATCAATTCATAACTACTTCTTTCGATTTTCAGTTATGATTTCATAGTCGAGCAATTATATTTTTACACTCGGAGGTAATGTTATTTTAGTCGTGTATTTCTGCGTCATGATTAAATAGAAGTGAGAGCCAAGGAGGAGGAGTCCCCACTGTATGAATCATCACCAGCCAACAAATGTGCCTGCACTGCCTTATCGTCAGGATATGGGGCAATTGCAGTGGTGATTAGACGATTAATTAATTTTCTAATACAGGGTATGCAACAACAACCACACAATGTTAAAACGGCTATAGAGATCAGCGCAGAGGACACAATGGATTTGTATTTTCCAAGTACATCAGGATCGGTGTGTGTGATTTTTGGGGAAACCTGCTGCACCTTCATCCCTAACAACACTGCGTCTGATGGTAGCTTGACCACAAGCAATAGACGGGCTACGAACCTTTAACAAGCGCCTTAAAGAGCAGTCTGGCGTTGACCAGTCTATGTGGGGTGATTGGATGGATGTACTTGGAAAATACAAATCCATTGTGTCCTCTGCGCTGATCTCAAAGTGGAACTAAACCAAGACTAAAGAGACTCTAAAGAGGGACTAAATCAGGGCTGAACCAGCACTAAATCAGGTCTGACTTCAGACTCTTCAGTCGTCTGAGGTTCAGCTTTAGTTTTCTCGTCACTGTCAGAATGAAGCTGATGTTTCAGTTTGAGCAGAAAAACCTGAAGCTGCAGGTTTCACTTTATTGATCTGCTCCACAAAAGTCCCTCTGGGTCCAGTTTGTGTTTAGTCTCAGACTTCAGACGATTCTTCAGGACGACTCCTCATTGTTCAGACTTCAGAGGAACACAGCAGTCCTTTTCTCCTTAGAGGCTTTGTTTATTTGTTTATTTATTAGGATTTCTGCACCAGAGGCTCAGCAGGTCCTGTGGTCCTTTTCAAAAACACTTTAATTCATAAAGACTTGTCTTAAAACTATATAAATAATCAGGTCTGGAATATAATAAAAATAATCAAAAAATAATCATTTGCCCCAAAAGAAACATTTATTTTATTTAAATAAATTTTAGTGAACAACTTCATCAAATAAAACACACAGACACTTTTAAACTCGAGCTCTTTTAAAGTCCCTGTTCAAAACTGAAGAGACTCAAGTTAAAGGTCCATTTTACTTTAAGTTTTTCCTTCTGAACGTCGTGTTTGTCTCGTAAACTCTTTTCTGCACAGTTCAAAATAAACAAGGCCTTTGTGCGTCAGTATAATTGTTGTACCTCGACATGGTGCACTGATAAACGTTCCTCCAGGGGGACCTGAGTCATTCCCAGACCAGCCCAGAGACATCGTCCCTCCAGTGTGTCCTGGGTCTTCCCCGGGGTCTCCTCCTGGTGGGACATGAACACCTCCTGAGGGAGACGTCCAGGAGGCATCAGAACAGACGTCCTCCTCAGACGCTCCTCTCCACGTGGAGGAGCAGCGGCTCTACTCCGAGCTCCTCACTCTGTCTCTAAGGGAGACGCCCAGACACCCTGTGGAGGAAACTCATTTGTGTCGCTTGTATCAGGATCTTGTCCTTTCAGTCATTACCCAGAGCTCATGGCCAGAGGTGAGGGGAGGAACAGAGACTGACTCTAACTGAGTTAGATTGAGCTAATAAAAAATGCAAAAACATTGAAACATTGAATTACCTGCCTTAGTCCTCTGTATTTGACCCATGTCTCTGGGTTAAACCTGCGTCTGACCCGTCCTCAGTGTCTCTGGTTCTTCTGTCAGGAGCTGTGGGACTTTCAATTCAAGACTAGACTTTTACCTTTTGTATTATTGTTTTTGTTTTGGGTCAGTGGAGAAAACCCCGACCCAGACAAACTCAGACAGGCCTGTGCAGTCTGGAGTCTAACCCGGGACCCTCTCGCTGCGAGTCGCGAGTGCTTAGTCCTGGTCTGGAGTTGAAGCCTCAGCTCGTTCCTCATGTGGATGTGATTATAAACGCGTGTAGAATTTCAGTAAACCGCACGTTCCGCTGGCTCCGGCTCAGCTCCTCTAGACTCTGTAAACTCTGAGCGCGGTCGGACTTTTCTTCAGACTCTTTCGCTCCAGGTTCAGTTTGAAAATGTTTGGAATCCAGACGAGTCCAGACAAATCTCACAGGAACATCTGAGCTCCTCCTGAGGGCACGAGTTTAGAGTCAGCTGCTCCTGCCGAAGAATCACAGAGACCACAGACAGAAAGACGGTTTAGACCTGGTTTAGACCTGGTTTAGACCTGGTTTAGACCTGGTTTAGACCTGGTTTAGACCTGGTTTAGACCTGGTTTAGTCCTGTTTAGTTTTAGACCTGGTTTAGTCCTGGTTTAGACCTGGTTTAGTCCTGGTTTAGAGACCTGGTTTAGACCTGGTTTTGTTTTGTCCTGGTTTAGACCTGGTTTAGACCTGGTTTTTGTCCTGGTTTAGTCCTGGTTTAGTCCTGGTTTAGTCCTGGTTTAGACCTGGTTTAGTGGTTTTGTCCTGGTTTAGTCCTGGTTTTGGTTTCCTGGTTTAGACCTCCTGGTTTAGACCTGCCTGGTTTTGTCCTGGTTTTGTCCTGGTTTAGACCTGGTTTTGTCCTGGTTTAGTCCTGGTTTAGACCTGGTTTAGACCTGGTTTAGTCCTGGTTTTGTCCTGGTTTAGACCTGGTTTAGACCTGGTTTAGACCTGGTTTTGTCCTGGTTTTGTCCTGGTTTAGACCTGGTTTAGACCTGGTTTTGTCCTGGTTTAGACCTGGTTTAGACCTGGTTTAGACCTGGTTTAGACCTGGTTTAGACCTGGTTTAGACCTGGTTTAGTCTATGTTACTTCATCTGAATATTTAGTCGATATTTTTTGTGACTGATTTGACCCGGAGTGGAACCTCGTCCTGATGAATCTGTATTTTTAGTCGTGCGTTTTTCGTCTGATCTCTTTGTGTAAAGACCAGACGAGTCGTGTTTTATCAGCTGTCCTCGCCGCAATCCCATCATGCATCACTGTGACAGCTCCGAGCCAATCACAGCGCAGGAATTCACACCTCGCCGTCCACTAATGAAGAAGAGGTCAAAGGCCAAGGACGGACTTTGGTTTGGTCCTTTTATTTAGAACTAAACCAGGACTAAACCAAGTCTAGACCAAGTCTAAACCACTACTTAAACAGAGCTGTAGGATTAAACCAGGACTAAATCAGAACTCAGCCAGGGCCAAACTAGAACTCAACCAAGACTAAACCAGATCTCGACCAGGACTAAACCAGAATTGAAACAGGTCTAAACAAGGTCTCAGTTCTAAACCAGGCCTAAATCAGGTCCGAACCAGAACTAAACGAGGACTAAACAAGGACTAAACCAGGTCTCACCCTTTGCTTTTCAGTATTGACTTAGTGATTTCTTTTGTTTTTTCTGTGTTTGATGAAGGTGTGTCCTTCACTCACAAACCTCCTCAGACTCTCAGTGCTTTTGTCCACCTCCTTTAAACACCAACCTGAGCGTGTGGGCTCGCCTCTCCACAGATCTGACCTGTAACTTGGTCCGGTTTGGTCTCCATGAAGATAGAAATGTTTAACACCACACTGTGAAACAATCCAGACAAAGCGATAACCCTCCAGCAGAAAAGTTACACGGTGCAGCTTTAACGTTGTATTTTTTGTGTTTTTGTGTGTTTTTTTTCAGAGGGAGTTGAAGCAGAAGCAGAACGAGATGGTGAAGACAGTGGCCGCGGCTGAAAACGCCATCAACAAACTGCAAAACAACACCGTGTCCATAGAGGTACATTCTAATCCTAAACCAAATAATCTAATACGACCTAAACCAGAACACCACCCTTTACTCATCTGATAAAAAAACAACTAAACAATCTGAAACGAACTAAACTAGAGCCCCACGTCCACGAAGGTGAAATAAAACACCAAAAATAGCACAACAACTCGTGTCTATAAAGTTAAATATAACCTTAAACCAAATAATCTAATACGAGCTAAACCAGAACACCTCCCTTTTACTCATCTGACCTTGAGAAAGTGCAATGGAACGGCCAATCAAATCAGCATTTCGAAACAAACTCAGGCTAATTCGGTGCAGAACCGAGTCGGCTGGACACTAAACTTTCTCTGGCATCTATATTTTCCCCGACTGTTGCGATGGAACGAATTTATAACGGATGTCGGGAGAACTGACTCGGATTTATCAACTACCGACGTTCAATAAAACCAAATAATCTAATACAAGATAAACTACAACACCTCCCCTCAGACTAAACCACAACACTGTGTCCATAGAGGTGAACTCTAACTCTCAAACTAACCAAATAATCAAATACAAAACAGACCACAACAAAATGTCCATAGATGCATAACTCTCAGACTGACCAAATCGTCCTATACGAGCTAAACTACAACACTGCCGTATTACTTATCCGATAAAACCATTAACAAACTGCAAAACAACAAAACAAACCAGCTAAATAATCTAAAACAAACAAAACCAGAGCCCCACGTCCACAAAGGTGAAGTAAAACACCACAAACAAAGCACAGCACCGAGTCTATAGAGGTACAATATAACCATAAAGCACATAATCTAATACAAAACAAACTACAACACCTCCCCTCGCACTAAACCACAACACTGTGTCTATAGAGGTGAAATCTAACTCTCAAATTAACCAAATGATCATATACAAAACAGACCACAACACCGTATCCATGGAGGTACAATAACACCCTCAGACTGACCAAATAATCTGATACGAGCTAAACCACAACACTGCCCTTTTACTTATCTGATAAAACCAACTAAATAATCTAAAACAAACTAAACCAGAGCCCCACATCCACAAAGATACAATAAAACACCACAAACAGCAGCACAGCACTGTGTCCATAGAGGTACAATATCCACCTTATTCCTCCCCACCCACTTTTGTCTCTAAAAGCTCCTAAACTAAAACTCCTACTCTTTTTTTTTTTTGAACAACGTTTTGTCCATATTGAACGTATCTGCTGTGAGATGGGACCCGTACAAAATAATACAACGCCCAAAGCAACTTCTGGAATAAGGTAATAACTCTCAGACTGACCGAATGAGCTAATACGAGCTAAATCACAACACCACCCTTTAACTCATCTGATAAAGGCCAAAAAAAATAATCTAAAACCAACTAAACTAGAGCCCCACGTCCATAAAGGTGAAATAAAACACCACAAACAGCAGCAAAACTCGTGTCCATAAAGGTAAATATAACTTTAAACCAAATAATCCAATCCAAGACAAACTACAACACCTCCCCTCACGCTAAACCACAACACCGTGTCCATAGAGGTGAAATAAAACTCTCAAACTAACCAAATAATCAAATATAAAACAGACCACAACACCATAATCCTAAATCAAATAATCTAATACAAAATGAATCAGAACACCTACCTCGTACTATGGTTTGTTCCAGTTGTCCTCAGAGGCTGGAGGTTGCGCCACAATTTCAGAATTTCTACATTCTACTACTCCTCATTTCTTCTACTACTTTTTATTTCTTGATTTATTTTGCACTTGTTTTGCATAGAACAATAAAAAAAAAAAGGCACAAGAGATAAAAGTATGTGCAGGAAGAGAGAAAAGACCCAAAAGTGCGTATAATAAAAGCTCCACCGTATAAATCCATAACACTGAACATTATAACTGTGCATTAGTTTAACATTTTATATTCACACTCGTCTCTTTGCTGTGGACCTTGGACGTCAGAGGAATTACAAACACGTTGTTCTTGTGTTATTTTGTCTTTAGTGGCTCCTCCTGTTCACCCACACTTCTGTGAATCTGCTCCTGCACTAAGCCTCTGCACTCAGAAACACTGTTATGTTACAAACGCTCGCTTATTCTCTGTTACTCTTTGTTATTGTGTGTTATTCTTTGTTACGCTCTGTTATGTTAATGTCACTAATGTCAACAAAAGCTCAGATTCCCTCCCAAACGTTGCATTATTACCTACTGATGATGTAACAGTGTCCGAGGCGCTGAAGTAACTCAACCGGATCCTTGTTTTGTCCGACCTGAGCTCTTTCCTAGTATTTACAGTGTTGGGGAGTAACAGATTACATGTACCAGAGTTACGTAAGCAGTAATCAGAGTACAAATTATGAGTAACTGTATTCATGGATTCATGTATGGATTACACGGCGGGATTTTCCTGTTTTCACATTTTGGGCTATATCCCTTTTTCTTTTTCATTTAAAAAAAATAATTAGTAATTCCACTCGTTGCCGGAAACTAAACCAGGTCTAAACCAGGTCTAAACCAGGACTAAAACAAGGTCTAAACTAGATCTAAACCAGGTTTAAACAAGGACTAAACCAGGTCTAAACCAGGACTAAACCAGGGCTAAACTAGAGCTAAACCAGGACTAAAACAAGGTCTAAACTAGATCTAAACCAGATCTAAACAAGGACTAAACCAAGTCTTAACCAGGTCTAAACCAGGACTAAACCAGGTCTAAACTAGATCTAAACCAGGTCCAAACCAGGTCGAAACCAGGACTAAAACCAGGTCTAAACCAGGTTGAAACCAGGTCCAAACCAGGTCGAAAACCAGGACTAAAACCAGGTCTAAACCAGGACTAAACCAGGTCTAAACTAGATCTAAACCAGGTTTAAACAAGGACTAAACCAGGTCTTAACCAGGACTAAACCAGGTCTAAACTAGATCTAAACCAGGTCAAAACCAGGTCGAAACCAGGACTAAAACCAGGACTAAACCAGGTCTAAACCAGGTCTAAACCAGGTCTAAACCAGGTCTAAACCAGGACTAAAACCAGGACTAAACCAGGACTAAACCAGGTCTAAACTAGATCTAAACCAGGTTTAAACAAGGACTAAACCAGGTCTAAACCAGGTCTAAAACCAGGTCTAAACCAGGTCTAAACCAGGACTAAACCAGGTCTAAACCAGGACTAAACCAGGTCTAAACCAGGTCTAAACCAGGTCTAAACTAATCTAAAACAGGACTAAAACAGGACTGAAACAGGATTAACAGGACTAAAACCAGGTCTAAACCAGGACTAAAACCAGGACTAAACCAGGACTAAACCAGGTCTAAACTAGATCTAAACCAGGTTTAAACAAGGACTAAACCAGGTCTAAAACCAGGTCTTAAACCAGGTCTAAACCAGGTCTAAACCAGGACTAAACCAGGTCTAAACCAGGGACTAAACCAGGTCTAAACCAGGTCTAAACCAGGTCTAAAACCAGGTCGAAACCAGGTCTAAACTAGATCTAAACCAGGTCCAAACCAGGTAAACCAGGACTAAACCAGGTCTAAACCAGGTTGAAACCAGGTCCAAACCAGGTCGAAACCAGGACTAAAACCAGGACTAAACCAGGTCTAAACCAGGTCTAAACCAGGTTCTAAACTAGATCTAAACCAGGTTTAAACAGGACTAAACCAGAACCAGGACTAAACCAGGTCTAAACCAGCACTAAACCAGGTCTAAACTAGATCTAAACCAGGTCAAAACCAGGTCGAAACCAGGACTAAAACCAGGACTAAACCAGGTCTAAACCAGGTCTAAACCAGGACTAAACCAGGTCTAAACCAGGACTAAAACCAGGACTAAACCAGGACTAAACCAGGTCTAAACTAGATCTAAACCAGGTTTAAACAAGGACTAAACCAGGTCTAAACCAGGTCTAAACCAGGTCTAAACCAGGTCTAAACAGGACTAAACCAGGTCTAAACCAGGAAACCAGGTCTAAACCAGGTCTAAACCAGGTCTAAACTAGATCTAAAACAGGACTAAAACAGGACTGAAACAGGATTTAACAGGACTAAACCAGGTCTAAACCAGGACTAAAACCAGGACTAAACCAGGACTAAACCAGGTCTAAACTAGATCTAAACCAGGTTTAAACAAGGACTAAACCAGGTCTAAACCAGGTCTAAAACCAGGTCTAAACCAGGTCTAAACCAGGACTAAACCAGGTCTAAACCAGGACTAAACCAGTCTAAAACCAGGTCTAAACCAGGTCTAAACCAGGTCTAAACCAGGTCTAAACTAGATCTAAAACAGGACTAAACCATGCCGAACGGAACATGTCTCCTCTTCTTCTATCAATAATATTTTTTAATTTGGTTCAGTAAAGACTGTTTTTTTAAATTTTCTTTTATCAGACAAAACATCTTATGTTACGATTTCCTCGTCTTTGTTTCTCTACAGCAAATCAAGTAATCCAAAGTATTCAGATTACGTTACTCACTTTAAGTAATTTATTGGATTACATTACAAACTACATTTTGGGGTGTGTAATCTGTAATCTGTAGGGGATTACATTTTAAAAGTCACCTTCCCAACACTGAGTATTTATGATTTTATTGAATCTTTAACAGAGGCGGCTCCACTATTAGGCAAAAGTAGACAGTTGCTTAGGGCCCCCGAACCTGGAGGGGCCCCCCACTAATGGCCGAGGCATCAGAGCTATTTGACTTTCTCTCAATATGACCTTTAATGAGAGTAGTTCACCTTAAAATGAGAAAACGCCATCAAAATACGACCCTGATTAGAACATAATCATATGTAATGGATGTAAACAAAAATATAAATGTACCAGCAAAAAAAATAAAACTACAAATGAACTAATAAGACAAGTTTCCAATCCTTCATAATTCAAATAAAGATGTGCGTGTCTCAAGAACAATGGGGGAAAACAGATAATAAATATTTAAAAACTACAAAACAAAACCAAACAACAGAGTATTACAGTGAGGGCCCCAAACTCAAGTTCGCCCAGGGCAACCAAATTGTTAACTCCGCCACTGTTCTTTACTGTAATGGCCTAGTCATTGTTTTTCCATTTTGACACCCGCAATCCAGTGTTTAACTCTGAGATTATGTCACTCTGAGGGCGTCTGGAGCACAGGAATAGACTGATAAAAGACCAACCACATAATCCAACAACAAACTGCAGCAGAACACTGAGTCCATAGAAGTAAATGAAACCCTAAACCAAATAATCTGATACGAACTAAACCATGACACCACCCTTTACTCATCTGATAAAGACCAACCAAATAATCTGCCAACAAAATGCACCACAACACCGAGTCCAACAGAGCTCTACTGACACTTTGCATCTGACGTCATCAACATTCTTTGGGGGTTGTGATGTTAAACTGGAGGCACTGAAGACTTTATTCAGAGCTTTAATTTAACACGATCGGACCAGAAAGAACTGATTTAACTGAAACAAGTCGCTCTCAAGATCCTTTAGATGAGACTCAAACTCCTAAACTTGTAAACTCCTTGTATTTTTTCTTGAATTTTGAGATCATCTTAAATCTTTCTGGCTGTGTTTAATGTGTGCTTTGTGTCTCCATGGAAACTGCTAAACATTCAGTATCGATACTCGCTCAAATGTGTATCTAGTTTCAAGACTTGTATTAGATTTTCTGCTTTTGACAGCCCTGATCTTAACACAGAAAACAGCACAACAGCGCCCCCTACAGTTTAGAATCTCACAAAAGACTCGAGGCGTGTTCAGAAAATCCCAACACGAATGAAAACTCATGACTCATCACTTACTCGTTTCACTCATTCAGATAATTACGTAATATTTATTATGACGTGAGGTCACATGACAAACAAAAACAAACACACAGACGGGTTTCCTCTGCTCCTGTCTGCTCCTGTCTGCTCCTGCCTGCTCCTGTCTGCTCCTGCCTGCTCCTGTCTGCTCCTGTCTGCTCCTGTCTGCTTAGAAGAAGAACAGTGAGTTTTTAGAGTTTGAATAATCACCTGCGGCAGCTCAGTTACACCTGGGGCCGACTCAACTAGAGTGACCAGAATTTCAAGATAAAAAACTGAGACATCCCTGGTTTTTGAATGAGTGCGTTTACATGCACATCAATAACCCGGTTATGATCGGGTTTTTTGAGTATCCCGGTTTCTTGATGGTGCATGTATAGGCAAGGCAAGGCAAGTTTATTTGTATAGCACAATTCGTACACAAAGTAATTCAAAGTGCTTTACAGAATAAGAAATACATTAAAATCATAATAAAAACAAATCAAAACATAAATAATCATGAAGATTAAAATTAAAAAAGAGAGACATAAATTGGAGAGAAGAGTGTGGAATGAAAACCTTTCAGTTATATGCACAGTTAAACAGAAATGTTTTGAGTCTGGATTTAAACAGCGTCACAGAAGAGTCTGTCTCACATGTTCAGGAAGACTGTTCCAGGTTTTAGCTGCATAAACCTGAAACGCTGACTCCCCTTGTTTAGTTCTGACTCTGGGCACCAGCAGGAGGCCGGTCCCTGAGGTCCTCAGAGTGCGAGATGGTTCATATGACACTAACATGTCACAGATGTACTTTGGTGCTCGGCCATGGAGAGACTTGTACACAAGCAGAGCTGCTTTTAAAGTTTATTCTCTGAGGCACAGGAGCCAGTGCAGAGACCTGAGCACAGGACTTATGTGCTCGTACTTTCTAGTTCCAGTAAGGACCCGAGCTGCAGCGTTCTGGATGTCTGGATGTTCTGCAGCGTGTCTCACAGCTCGTTTGGAGAGACCAGTGAGCAGACCATTACAGTATCTAACCTACTGGAGACAAATGCATGGATAAGTTTCTCCAAGTCTGATTTAGACAGTAAACCTTTGATTTTTGCTATGTTTTTTAGATGGTAAAAGGCTGCAGATGTTATTGATTTTATGTGACTGTTAAAGTTCAAGTCTGAGTCCATTATTACCCCTAGATTTCTTGCCTGATTTGAAGGTTTTAGAGAGAGAGACTGGAGGTGATGCTGACACTGTCCCTTTGTTTCTGTGGACCAAACACTATGACTTCAGTCTTGTCAGAGTTTAGCTGGAGAAAGTTGTTTTTGCATCCACACACTGATCTGTTGGATGCAGTGACCAAGTGACTCCACTGGTCCATAGTCTCCTGCTGCCAGAGAGAGACGTAGATCTGAGTGTCGTCTGCATAATTGTGGTACGACACGTTATTGCTGCTTATTAACTGGCCTAATGGCAGCATGTAGAGATTGAACAACAGGGGGCCCAGGATTGACCCCTGAGGCACCCCACAGGTCAGGGCCATGTCATCTGAGACACAGTTTCCAATTTCAACAAAATACTTCCTGTCTTCTAGATAGGACTTGAACCAGTTTAGTACAGTACCAGAGATGCCCACCCAGTCCTCTAGTCTCTGTAAGAGGATCCCATGATCGACAGTGTCAAAAAGCAGCACTCAGATCTAACAGGATCAAGACTGAGACTTTGCCTGCATCAGTGTTCAGGCGGATGTCATTTGTCACCTTGATAAGAGCAGTCTCAGTGCTGTGGTGGCTCTAAAACCTGACTGGAAAACATCAAAGGAGTTGTTCATTTGGAGAAAGTTCGTAAGCTGTTGGTAAACAGCTTTTTCAAGGACTTTGCCAAAAAACGGCAGATTTGAGATGGGTCGGAAATTGTTCCGTACTGTGGCATCAAGACTGCTCTTCTTTAGGAGAGGCTTAATGACCGCAGTTTTCAACGCATTTGGGAATGTTCCAGATTGAAGTGACATGTTCACTATGTGAGTGAGTGGTGAAAGTAAAACTGTTGAGGACGGACTTTAGAAATCTAGTGGGTAACATGTCCAGGCAGCAAGTAGATGAACTCAGACTGGTAACGATCTCTAAAACAGTTTTGTCAGTTACAGGTGCAAAGTGATTCAGCTCTAAGTGTCTCTGTGGCTGCATGCTTGTTATTTGTGTTGTGGAATTGATGGCATTTTTGATATATGTATATATGTATACGCAGTAACCCGGTTTCTGTAACCCGGTTATGGCAGTATCCTGGTTATTAGAAACCGGGTTACTGTAGCTGGTTTATTCCGATAGTAACCGGGATACTTGTGGCATGTAAACGCACTATCTCAGTTACTGCAACATAAAGTTGAGTGCGCATGCGTCCAAAAGACACTTTCCAGCCTTTCACCACAACAGTAGTGACATAAATAAATTGACCAACATAAATAAAGTGACCAAACGAGTGAAATGACTGTAAAATAAAGAGCTGCGCTAAACCTGCACATGTACAATCTGCACTCGTGTGACGCTGAAAAGCTAAAACATGAACTATCTCCTATCCTCTATATGCACGAAACACACTCACCATCATCAGCACCTCTTCTGTCACAGAAATAACACACATAATCCACAGAGTCGTGTCATTTAGTCCAAAAGAAAACTGATCGCATCAGCGGCGCAAGGAGCGAGTTGTTTTTATCACCGCTAACAGTTTATGCTAATTAGCCAAACGGTCTTAAGTTTCGTTTCTGTAAAACGTAAACAAATGTGATCAGAGCTGAATTATCTGATCAAACGGGCTGATGTGTCTATAGTGTTTATGGTTTATATGTTGTAAAGTTGAGTTTATTTATGCAGAAGATTTTAATGAAGAATCTGCACAGTGGATTGTGGGAGATCTCGTAGCTCCTTAGCTTCTTATGCTAAAGGAGCTCACGGTTTGTATTTTTCCTGGTTTATGAAATTGATTTAAGTTAATTTCTGCGCCTGCGCATTTGTAAGATTATGTCAAGAAACCGGGATACTCCATTTGATCATGTACACGCGAATATGAGTGTCCCGGTTTCTCAGTGCGCATGTAAACACAGTAACACGAACACTGACAGAACCGGGGTACGGCTAATAACCGGGTTATTGATGTGCATGTGACGCACTCACTGAAACAAGGGCGTAACAGTGTGAGTCGGTATAGTCACATTTTCTTTGTGTTTTGGTCATTTTAAAGCTGCTTTTTTGTACCGTATTTTCTGCACTATAGACGCTCTGAATCATTGAATGGTCTATTTTCAAACTTTTTTCAGATATAAACCGTATTAAACGAAACACAACAGTTCGATAAGTCAGTCAAACTTTATTTAACACGTTCACAATAACTCTCAACTTTGTTCAATTGTAACGTGTAAAAAAATAAAAACTGTCTGAGATGCAAAACTGTTAGAATATTCACAATAAGTCATAATAGTTGAAACAGTTGGGTGGTTCCGTCCACACGTCCACGTTCCTCTGTCATGATCCCAGTCAGTGTGGTTCTGTTTCCTGGAGTTCAGTTCAGTGATGATTCTGGTCTTGGTGAAAACTCAGATCACAGTTGATACTCTGACCTTCTCGTCTCCTCTGACCTTCTCGTCTCTCTCTGACCTTCTCTCGTCTCTCCTCTGACCTTCTCGTCTCCTCTGACCTTCTCGTCTCCTCTGACCTTCTCGTCTCCTCTGACCTTCTTCTCGTCTCCTCCTCTCTTCTCCTCTCCTCTGACCTTCTCGTCTCCTCTGACCTTCTCGTCTCTTCTGTCTCCTCTCCTCTCGTCTCCTCTGACCTTCTCGTCTCCTCTGACCTTCTCTCTGTCTCCTCCTCTCTTCTCCTCTCCTCTGACCTTCTCGTCTCCTCTGACCTTCTCGTCTCCTCTGATCTCTCTCGTCTCCTCTGATCTTCTCGTCTCCTCTGATCTTCTCGTCTCCTCTGACCTCTCTCTCCTCTGACCTTCTCTCTCCTCTCGTCTCTCTGACCTTCTCGTCTCCTCTGACCTTCTCGTCTCGTCTCGTCAGAACTCAGTGATGGAGGTCCGTGCCGTGGTGGACGCCCAGTTCGAGCGTCTGTCGGCGACCTTGGAGAAGACCAAGCGTTCCCTGATGGAGCTCCTGGAGGCGGAGGAGAAGCAGGCGGTGAAACAGGCCGACGGGATCCGAGTCCACCTGGAAAACCGCCTCTCGGACCTCCGGAAAACCCAGGCTCAGGTCCAGAAGATCAGCCGCAACAAGAGCCACCTCGACTTCCTGCAGGTACCACGCCAGACTAGACCGGGACTAGACCGGGACTAGACCGGGACTAGACCGGGACTAGACCGGGACTAGACCAAAGTTTGTGTTTTTTTTGTTTTGACGACGAGTCTCTGGGTCAGACTCGGGCTTCACACTGAACTGAGATTCTCAAAGACATAAAAGTCTCACCTCTGCACCAAAACCAGTCTGGACCAGGATCTGGGGTCTAAACCAGGACTAAACCAGGACTGAACCAGGTCTAAACCAGGACTGAACCAGGACTAAACCAGGACTAAACCAGGACTAAACCAGGACTGAACCAGGACTGAACCAGGTCTAAACAAGGTCTAAACCAGGTCTAAACCAGGACTGAACCAGGTCTAAACAAGGTCTAAACCAGGTCTAAACCAGGTCTAAACCAGGTCTAAACCAGGACTAAACCAGGACTAAACCAGGACTGAACCAGGTCTAAACCAGGTCTGAACCAGGTCTAAACCAGGTCTAAACAAGGTCTAAACCAGGTCTAAACCAGGACTGAACCAGGACTGAACCAGGTCTAAACCAGAACTAAACCAGGACTGAACCAGGACTGAACCAGGTCTAAACCAGGGCTGAACCAGGTCTAAACAAGGTCTAAACAAGGTCTAAACCAGGTCTAAACCAGGACTGAACCAGGTCTAAACAAGGTCTAAACCAGGTCTAAACCAGGACTGAAGCAGGACTGAACCAGGTCTAAACCAGAACTAAACCAGGTCTAAACCAGGACTAAACCAGGACTAAAACAGGATTAAACCAGGACTAAAACAGGATTAAACCAGGACTAAACCAGGTCTAAACCAGGACTAAACCGAGATGGAACCAGGACTAAACCAGGATTAAACCAGGACTAAACCAGGTCTAAACCAGGACTAAACCAGATAAAACCAGGACTAAACAGGATAAACCAGGACTAAACCAGGTCTAAACCAGGACTAAACCAGGACTAAACCAGGACTAAACCAGGTCCAAACCAGGTCTAAACCAGGTCTAAACCAGGACTAATCTAGGTCTAAACCAGGACTAAACCAGGACTAAACCAGGTCTAAACCAGGACTAAACCAGGACTAAACCAGGACTAAACCAGGACTAATCTAGGTCTAAACCAGGTCTAAACCAGGACTGAACCAGAACGTTTTTCAGGAGTACGTGGAGTGTTTTTATTCGTGTTTTTGGTCTGTTTTTTCAGGAGTACGTGGAGTGTTTTTATTCGTGTTTTTGGTCTTGTTTTTCAGGAGTACGTGGAGTGTTTTTATTCGTGTTTTTGTCGGTGTTTTTCAGGAGTACGTGGAGTGTTTTTATTCGTGTTTTTGTCGGTGTTTTTCAGGAGTACGTGGAGTGTTTTTATTCGTGTTTTTGGTCTTTTTTTTCAGGAGTACGTGGAGTGGAAGCAGGAGGGCGCGGACACGTCTCTTCCCGGCGTTTACATCGGACTCATGGACAGTTTAAACTCCGTCGGGAAAATCATCACAGAGTCGACGGACAAACTCTGCAGCGCCATCGAGACCGAGTTCACCGACAGGGTCAAAGACGCCTGCTCCAACGGTGAGACTCGACCAGGACCAGACCGGGACTGGACCAGGACCGGACCAGGACCAGACCGGGACTGGACCAGGACCGGACCAGGACCAGACCGCGACTGGACCAGGACTAAACCAACATCATTCTAAAGATGTTCTGTTCTGTGAATGAGATTTTTTTCGTATCGATCTAGTCTTGATACTGGTTTTAGTATCGATTCGATCTGATTTTCGATATTTTCTCCGGCCCTGTCAGACGGACAGGGTCTCTCCTGTCGGACGGGGTCTCTGTGTGTCGCTGCGGTGGTTTTATGGTTTTGAAGTTTTGAGGATTTGTGTAAAATAAATCGCCTGATGCAAAGTTCATGGAGCAGACAGGAGCAGTGTGTTGGACCTGTCAGAAGTGGAGGGCAGGAGCAGACAGGAGCAGACAGGAGCAGTTGGTTTTGTGTCGGTGCAGCAGAGACTCGCTCAGACTCGTTCAACCACAAAAACCATTATTACTCTAAATTATTCCAAATACTTTCATTTTATTAGTGAAGAAAAATGTATTCAGTCATTTTCACTTTTTACTGTGTTATAGTTTAGACTGAGTTTAGACTGAGTTTAGACTGAGTTTAGACCTGGTTTAGACTGAGTTTAGACCTGGTTTAGACTGAGTTTAGACTGGTTTAGACTGAGTTTAGACCTGGTTTAGACTGAGTTTAGACCTGGTTTAGACTGAGTTTAGACCTGGTTTAGACTGAGTTTAGACTGAGTTTAGACCTGGTTTAGACCTGGTTTAGACTGAGTTTAGACCTGGTTTAGACTGAGTTTAGACCTGGTTTAGACCTGGTTTAGACTGAGTTTAGACCTGGTTTAGACCTGGTTTAGACCTGGTTTAGACCTGGTTTAGACCTGGTTTAGACCTGGTTTAGACCTGGTTTAGACCTGGTTTAGACCTGGTTTTAGACCTGGTTTAGACCTGGTTTAGAGGTTTAGACTGAGTTTAGACCTGGTTTAGACCTGGTTTAGACCTGGTTTAGACCTGGTTTAGACCTGGTTTAGACCTGAGACCTGGTTTAGACCTGGTTTAGACCTGGTTTAGACCTGGTTTTGGTTAGACTGGTTTAGACCTGGTTTAGACTGAGACCTGGTTTAGACCTGGTTTAGTTTTTAGACCTGGTTTAGACCTGGTTTAGACCTGGTTTAGACCTGGTTAGTTTAGACTGGTTTAGACTGTTTAGACCTGGTTTAGACCTGGTTTAGACCTGGTTTAGACTGGTTTAGACTTTTTAGACCTGGTTTAGACCTGGTTTAGACCTGGTTTAGACCTGAGTTTAGACCTGGTGGTTTAGACCTGGTTTAGACTGGGTTTAGACTTGGTTTAGACCTGGTTTAGACCTGGTTTAGACCTGGTTTAGACAGTGAGTTTATAATAATATAATAATAGATATTACTGAGACATTAGTGTGTTAGGGTCAGATAAAGATTCAGTTCAGTTTCTGTAGTGACAGAAACAGGAAGTGTTTTTACTCTGGTGTTTGTGGTTCTTGTGTTGAAACGACGTCTCCACCGCAGCGAAACACAAAACACAAGAAAAGAACAGAAAACACAAAGAGGATTCACTCTGCGGGAGTTAAACTGGACCACAGAACATTTACACCACCGTGTTTCATTTACTGTTTGGAAAACACATATTCTTGTAATATTCACTCTAGTTTTTGATGCTCTAAGAGCCATTTGCTCTCTGCACTAAGTCTCTACCCGTTCAGAGCATTATTGTAACACAAGCATCGCCTCTCCACAGATCTGGCCCATAACCAAACTTGGAGCCATTTGCGCGACAACACAGAGTTTATGTTTATGTCACACTGGACTGGTAATAGTCTGCAGTTCTGGTCCTGGTTTAGT